AAAGACCAAAAGATGTGTATCAATGGTTTAAAGCATAAATAGAAGCTTTTAAATCACATTTTTAATGATTTATAATAATTGATTGTATCATATTTTTAAAAGAAATTAACAAATGTATCAAGTTATATAGTAAAAGGTGTTTTTCCTGACTTACATAAAAGAAGCCTATTGTTACCTTAAATTTTTATGTGTAAATTTAATAAAATATATAAAATTTTCTTTCATGACAGAAACATAATTATTTTTCACGTTAAAATATTAATGGGAATAATAATAAATATTTGATAAAAGTTTGTTAATACACACTTTGATATTCACATACTTAACTATGAAAAATATAGTTGTATTAAAACTTTTGAAGATCTAAGAAAACAAATTTATATTATGTATATTTTCATAAATTTTTATAAATAAGATTTTATTATGTTGTTGTAATGAATAGAAGTTATATCATTGCATTTATGTAACTTATCATAACAAATTTTGTATCTATTATTTATAATCTAAGATTATTTTTAAACTATAAATTTGAAAATAATTTTAAAGAAAACAAGATATTAAATGTAAAAATAAATTATTATAAATTACACACATACATGTTTCTTGTTAGTATATGCTTATTAATTTAAAAATTAAACTTCTTGGAGAAGCTCAAATTGGCTACAATGTTTCATAAAGTTACTGTACATGAAATAGTTATTTAGAAATTTGTTAAATTCTGAAAATGTCGAAAAATATAACATTTAATTAAAGTTTTATGAAAATCGAATTTACTTGTTATAATATTACATTCTCCTCACATGAATGAATATTTTATTAATTATAGAACTGATAAAAAAATTAGCTAATTATAAATAACATTTCGTTTGTAATTTTGTAAACCGTCTTGTATACATATATTTATTGCAATATAACAATAATACAATAAATTCAATATTGTAAATTTATTTATCCGAAGCGAGGACCTAACGTCCTTTTACAGAGTTAATTATTATCGTTATCGTCGGCAATCATTAGTAAACAAATCATCTAAATACCTTATTAAAAGAGGCTCGCTATTGTTAGTGGGTAATCGGAAATCCTTTGATACATCTTGCACTTCACGAAATATACGGCGAACACTTTTTATTATATGCAAGTTTCTGTCCGACAAAAAGCATATAGTATGTACTTGACCTACATATACGTATATATATGTACGTAAAAACTTGTCGTGTAAATATGAATGGAGGACAAATATAGTAGTAATTATCTAATGATAGAATTCGTGCTATCTATATATTAATTAAAATTCTTCTTTAACTAATTTTCCTTGTATAACATAACATATAATTAGTTTATTTACAAAACCCTGAAAATCAAAGCCAAATAATTTAAAAAAGCTAGTGTGTTTTAAGTTTTATAAAAAGATGATAGAAATTTATCTGTCGTGTAAGAAACTCTTTAGTAAAAATTAATTGTAAAGTGCTACAATAAACAGTACCAGTCGTTTGTCTAATTGTTCACGTTAATACAGTATTTCCTTTTTTTTTAACTTCTCAGCATCTTTCAATACGTTATTACAATTAAATATTTGTATAAAAAATGTCTTGTTATAAGCAAATAATTTCTAATTACTTCCCAAGATAGTAATAAATACATTAAATTTGTTATATATGAAAAGAATATCAATTTCAAAAATGTAGTACCATCGAAAAGGATAAATAAAATAAGGAGATTTGAAAATTGGAAGCAGAAATACCGCGTAATTGTAACAATTTTACTTATTCAATTGTTTGTTTCTAGAAACAACTGACATCAGATAATGCAGAACTTTCGAGGAATTAATCATCGTAAAACCTGCGACATTACGTTATTGTGTTTATAGTACATTCTACGAAAACAAAATTTTCCAAAGGAAAAGCTACTTATCTCTATGTTTTGCTAATTAGTAGATATACATAACAAACACTATCAATTAGATCGAATGTATATCGTCCTAAATTACTCTAAAATTATATATTAAACAACAATGGATCGATTTGAGAAGCAAGAAGCTCTTCGATATTTTATGTGTTTTTTCCTTCTTGCTTTTTCTCCTCTTTTGTTTTGTTATAGTTTTAAAAAACATGAAACGCTTGAAGAAGGACACTTCGTAAATGTTTAACTGATCTCTTTTTATTGGTGAAAAAGCTTCCATTTAACCAATCGATTACATTCACTTTACACAACAAATATGTAGTTCCGCAAAGTCAACCGTTCATCGACAGGGTGTATTCAACGTGTTTTACTGATGATAATCGCATTTTTTTTTTTTTTATTAATAATCGTACCTATATATGAGTCTCTTTCTCTCTTAATGTCTTTGGGTGTATGAGTGCATCTATTAAAAGCGCGAAATCCTTATCCGATGACCGGTCGCGCGCGCAAGTGCATGAGTGCGTGCATGCATGTGTGAATGTGTATGTATGCTGTGCAAGAATTTTTCTTCTCTTTGTTTTCATTCCTTTGTTTGAACGAAAGACGGCCTAAGAATGGCTTCTGAATACTATTTCGATACGAATATATGTATATATTATTCTTATAAAATCATAGATACCAATGACAATCGATTTTATATTCGATTTAAATGTCACGAAGTTTGACTATGTGTGCCCTGTGGTCATTATGTATGTCAACTCTCTATGTACATTTCAATAGCTATTTTGTAAATAAAATATAAGATATGACAAAACTTTAAATGAGAATGATAGAAATCACATTCAAATAAATAAACTTCATGAATAATTTAAGCATTTTTGAAACGAATTAAAGAGTTTGCAGAAAAAGAGATGATTATATGGATTATCAATACTATACTTCTATGTTGATTTTACGATTTATCTTTTCTTTCAGAAATAAGAATATAATTTTAGATCAAATCACACATTTGTGATAATAAAATTATGTATTCATATATAAATACTTGATGTCTTTTATTTTTAGAACTTCATTGTTTCGTTTAAAACAAAATTTATATAATATTATAGTTAGTTTTTAAAATCTGAAAAAATCGAAGAAATAGTGATCTAATTTTCACAACAAACTCTTTAATTACATAAATATAAATATAAATTCATATACATATACTTTATTATGTATGTATATACATATATATCGATCGATGAAAAAACTCGGCAAGTATGAACATGCCGTAACAGGAAAAGCCAAAAAGTTGTGATTAATATGAGCAGAGAAGATATATTATGTAGGTACAGCTACAGACAAAAAGAAAAAATAAAATCACTTAGTGTGAATGCAAGTTATGTTTACCCCTTAGCAGCAACAGTATCTGTGTTTAGGAATGTTTATAATATTCCCGTACATCTCGTAATTGTGATATACTTAAAACATAATTGTGTTGTTAAAAAATGGTATACATACATATATATATAGTATTTTATATAAATATATAAATACACATGTATTTATATATTTATATATATTCTCATAAAATTATCTATAGTTTTTCTTTCATTCATATAATCCCATAATTGACTAAATTTTATATTAATGTGGTATTACCTAGAACAAGAGTTGTGCGTACACAATCTCTTATAAATGCACTCATGCGCAGTAACGCACGTATCTGTTTTTCATTTTACATTTCCTATTATACATATTATAAATATATTTATGTAATATATTTATAATATGAATTGTTCTTACAACGAATTTTATTTACAAAAATTAATATCCCCTTACAATGAAATTTTTATTTTTGTCTACCTATGTACTATAATCTACAAAATATTTCATTCAATTCTCCAAACAGTGCCTTTACTGTTCCTTCCGTTTGATTTTTTTCGAATTTTTATCACGGAAGATCGGGTGTACGCACATGAATATCTAAAAAATTCCTTTCCTAATTGCTATCTTGAGAGAACGTATTTTTTCCTAACATTTCAATAAAGTCTTTTTTTATAGACTTTTCTTTTTACCTTTCCAAAGAATCATTTTTAATAGATATCAGGCTTTTATTTATATGCTTGAAACCTAATCATATGAAATAAGACATCTAGCCCTTTTGAGTTCTACTTATGCAGTCCATTTTTAAAAAGGGTTTAATTTAATATAGCTTTACATAATATAATGAAAAATTATTCTCTGTATTAGTTTTATTTTTCCTTTAGTTTCAACTCATTTTGATTATATTGTTTTATTTACTCATAATTTGCAGCAAAATAAAGTATTGTTAAGAAAATTAAAGACATCAGAAAATTAAGTTACATTGAAAGAAATTTTTAAGATATTTATAAATAATTTTGAAATAATAATTTCTTTAAAATAAATTATTACGTCATTTATGGACCATTAAAAATTTTCTGTAATATATTTTGCTCAATTCAAATTGTTCTATTGCGTTCTAATTGCTTCTGCCATAAAAGTTTCGCATTAAATTATTATCATCTTACGTGCTATTGAGGCAAGATTATCAATCTATTAATCATTTCTTTTTCGTTATTCAAGGCTTCGGTAGAGACCATATGCGAGCTGGAAAAGTATTAATAAATACGTACTACAAACTACGTTATATGCACAAATTAAATTCCCCAATTGTAAACTGCGAAGTTTTCCTCAATATAAGAGCACCATCTCTGAACAATGATGCTAATTTTTATAACAGCGCTCGAAATAATCACGAGCAATTATAAATATCACTAAAATAAATAGACCTATACAGGTATGTTCCTACGTTTATCAATGTAAATAGGTAATTCATTGAATTCATTGCATTTAAAAAGAATTTAATATCGATCCTTGGATCTTTGTTCTCTTCCCTGTCAATAATGCTTAGTAATATACTTATAATGATGATAATAACGTTCCAATTCCACAGCAATATTAATTCTGAGACCTATTTGTAATATTCGTAGGAATCGAATTATGGACTATATTACAATATAATTTCAAAATTATGAATATTACTGTTAAATTATATTAGTACTGCTTTTTTACCGACAATCGAATAAATCGTTCATAGTTTCCATTATTTACAGTTCAATTAATTTTACACGTATGTTCATTTATCTCACGACAATTACCTCCAGGAAGTCACTGTTAATTCTGACGAACGTAACAATACGATACATCGGCACAAAAAAGGTATTTAATTTTTTTAGCAATTAGGTCGATCGATGTATACCGTTAAAATACGTTTTCTTTCACTCACAGACTCGTCGGGTGTCAAGACAGGATTTATATGATGTCTTCAAATATTGCATCCAAAGATAATATAAAGTCCCTTCGTAACTGTTAATATGTTCTTGGTATTTAGAATGGAGAAATAGTCTCTGTCTGCGTGATTTTCAATAGTATTTATGTGGAAACACTAAAGAACAAATCACTTCTTCCAATAAAAATAACTTTTTTTTACACTTTTTGCACAACTTGAGCAGTTCCATGAATATTTCACTATACAACACATGCGAATAAACACACTTATCTGTGTGAGTCATCATTCTCCCAAGTTAGATTCGTCATAGTGTGAAAATTTAAGAAAAACCTGTTCCAAAGTAGTTTGACTGAAACTGTACTCTTCAATATCCAACTCGAGCTTGGCTAAAAATTGAAATTACAATTGAAGAGAATATAATGTACGGTAGTTTAATCGTTTATTTAATGTTTACCTTTCTCTAACTGCATAAAACACTCGGCCAGCGAGTTAACAGCATGTTGAGGAACAGCAAAAACTAATCTGTCGGTAAAACTTTCTTCGAGAGTTGCATCTGGAAAAAGACTGGAAACAAATTCTTTCAGACTCGTAATCCTGTCACCGGAAGGTGTCGTAGGTGTACAATCACCGCCTAAAAGTTTCATTTCAAGGGTATATCCTGCACCATACAAGTTCTTCAAATGTTGGGTAGAACCAATGCACCTTAACTCTCCTTTTACCATTATACCCACTCTAGAACATAGAGCATCAGCTTCTTCCATTGAATGAGTGGTTAGAATTGCTCCTCTACCACCCTGTTGAAAAAGATTTTATTAATGACAGAACGATTCTTAATAGATGTGCATGTTTTAGTAAATGAAAAGTTTCATAGAGACAAACCTGAAAACTAGCAAGAATTGTATCCCATAAAAACCTTTTTGATTTAGGATCCATTCCTGCACTAGGTTCATCCATTAGAACAACCTTTGGACCTCCAATCATTGCCATAGCAAAACTAAGTTTCCTTTTAGTTCCACCAGAACATTCTTGGCTTTGTTTGTCAGCATGTTCGTGAATTTGTAAAGCAGTAAGATAAAAATCCACGATTCTGTAATATGAAGCTTTGTTTTGTTTTGTAACTATTCATTAAATATTTGTTTTATAACTTTAGAAATATTAAAGTAACTCGAATTAATCACCTGCTGATATCCCTCCACGGTACACCACGAATAGCGGCGTAACATTCTAAATGTTCCCTGACAGTAATATTCTTCCACTGAGCATCATGTTGAGGGCAGTAGCCCATTTGTCTAAAAGCTTCTGACATATTGGTAGTAATATTATAACCACCGATTTGCACTCTACCTCGAGTGGCCGCTTCTTCTGCTATGATAATTTTCATCGTTGTCGTTTTGCCAGCACCATTGTGGCCCAGTAATCCGAACACCTCGCCTGGTTCAACCGCTAACGAAAGATTTCTTACAGCAACTTTTCGTTGTATTTGACTAGATTCTTCATCTTGTTTTGAACAGCAACTGCATGATCCTGATTCCTTTTGTCGATATTCTTTCCTCAGATTCTAATAAATATGTAATTTCAATTCTATGATATGTACATATTATGGGAATAAAAATAATCTATGCAATAAAAAATGATACCTGTACAAGAACTACAGGTGGTTCCTGAACGGATGATGAAGTAATGAGATTTAAAACTTTTTGTTTTTCAGCTTTAACGTCTGCATCTTCATGTTCTCCAACATCAGAATTCTCTATTATTTCCTCGCCAATAGAGCCACCATTACGCTACAAGAATAGAAAATATTTATATAAAATCATTTTATATTCAAATTTTCAATGTATTATCTCAATTATACACTAACCAGAAAATATTTCAATATATCACGGACGTTACCACCACTCTTTTTAATGTCCAGTAGTAAAAGCACGAAAAACCACACCGGGCAATGCAGAAGCACGCCGAAGGCCATTAAAATGATCTCCGTGGTTAAATAATCGGACATAGTCAGATGATGGCAAGCAGCATTGATAGAACACATTAGATGTACTCTTTCTACATAATATACTGCAGCATATGGTACGTACAACGTGTTCAGTAATGAAAAAATTACGTGTAAAGCGAACGTTGCTGTGCTACCTAAGAAGTTTATCAATCAATCGATTATATATTGGACTATTTTGTTATTTTCATATTAATTTATAAATCAAATTCTTAACAAAATGTTAAATGATATCTAAATAATTTACTGTTTAAAGAATGGATAACTTACTAATGCCCAGCATATCAAGAACCATAACTAGTGTAAATGGAATAACTCCGATGTAAGCTGTAATATTGGGTAAAATACTCTGAGCAGAATCCATCTTATCAAAGATGTAACTTAAACACGCCAAGAACAGAATGGATGATGGATAATAAAGCATCAACAGACCGCTAAGGGTAATGAGTGCTGGTTTTTCTTGGAATTGAGGCAGGCCAAAAAGAAATATGATGCCAAGAATACACAAATAGATGAATGTCATCTGGCCAACAAGAGTAATAAAATATGTCAAGAAGTATGTAAAAAATGTAAGACCATTGGTACGAAGTTGATTCTTTGCTTTTATCTAAAAACATAATTTTGACAACAAAGTAAATAAAATATTATTTTAAGTACATAATTAATATATAAAAAAGGGATCTCACTTCACGATCGTAGACCATGTCTACAATTAAAGTTATTGGTAACAATACAAATATCATTCCAATAAGCATAGTAGAACTCGCTGTACCAATATTAAATTCCTGTGGTTGAGAAGTTTGTTGGAAAGGATGTGTCTTAACTTCAATCGGTTTTAAATTATTTTTATCAGAAATCAACCTAATCAAAAGTAAAAAAATGAATTGTACATATAGTTATTTGAATGTATATAATTTATTACCGAATTATTGATTGTACCTGTAATAGGTGTTTGATAGTAGGTTCATTAAGATTGGTAAAGAATGTTGCATAGTGTCGTTATATGCGACAGTCAAATGGATTTTGGGTAGATTATACTCATTGATATTAAAAACAGCTATATGTGGTGAAATTTGTAACAAATTTGCAAAACTTCCATAGTATTCTTCAATGTACTTTACGTCTTGGCTTATACCATCGATTAAATCTGTAATATCGTGATCGGTATTATTTGCATATAAAAGTTTGGTTTCATTTCCATAAGTATCTGTAAAAAGAAGAAAATATTCAATTCTAATAGCAATTATCTTATATATTATTAGTGATTTAATTGTTTTAGAACATACCAGTGTTCAATTTAAGAGATTGCATTTTGACTTCGACTGTTTGAATGCTTTTCAAATGGAAGCCAAGAATTAACAAAAAAAGGGACGTAAGGACAGTGCAGCATAAAAACTGAATATTCCTAAAGACCCTGAGTATCCTTAGGCGAAGCATAGCATACAAGGTTTGAAGGAAATTAGGCCGAATTTTTATGGGGTCTAATCCGAGGCCGAGAACAGGAGGGTTTCTATCACTATGAACGTCATCCGGTAAATCTTCTGCCTCTACAATAAAATACAATCAAATTTACGTGTTATGAATTTTATAATATATTGCAAATATTAAGAATGTACCTTTTGCTTGACCGTCATTCTGAACTGTAACACCTTCGTTCTGCAAACTCTGATAAGAAGTGCTTTTAGATTGCAACGATAAAGACCTGCTTAATGCGCGATTGCGCACCATTTTTTTTGATAAATTATCCACGGTATATTCAGGACCTCCATCCTTTTCTAAATGCAGGAACACCTCTTCTAAAGTAGTCATTGATACTCCATAACTACTAATACCCAATCTACTCGAGCGAGTTTTAATCTCGTGTTCTATAGCTGAGAAGAGTGGTGCAAAACTTTCCACTGAATTATGTGGTAAAATAAAACTCAATTCACGACCATGGCGTCTCGCTTTTTCTGCTTTTGAGACGTGAGAAGTTACTAATCTGGTAATAGCATGTTCTCTTGCATTTCCTTCAAGTACGAGCCTGTTAAATTAACATTGTTAAATACATTTTTATCAAATACACTTTATTGTTATATTGTATTATTTAATAAACATTTAACATACGTTAAGTGATATCCAATACCGAATTTATTTTTTAAAAATAAAGAACTGCCACAACATCTCAGTTTTCCTTTACTAATAACAGCTTTTCTATCTGCCAATATATCTGCTTCGTCCATAAAATGAGTTGTTAACAGAATCACTTTCCCGTGACGTCTAGATTGTAAGATAGACCACATTTTTCTTCTGGAGTAGGGATCAACTCCGGCTGTAGGTTCATCGAGAATAATAATTTTCGGGTCACCAATAATGGCAATACCTACAGACAATTTTCTTTTTTGACCGCCACTCAAATTTTTCGCAAAAGTATCTGCTTTCTCAATTAAATCAATATCTTTTAGGGCTTTTTTCACCTAAAAATAATGATATAAAATAATTTATTATTTTTAATTTATGTAAGTAGTTTTTATATAATTTGTTAATGTTACTTTCACATTACCTCGTGTTCAATCATCGATCTTGGAATACCACGTACAGCGGCAAAAAATTCAAGATGTTCGCGAGGTGTAAGAAGATCAAAGAGGATGTCATGTTGTGGACAAACGCCAGTCATTCTTCTAATCATTTGCATATCATTGGAATCTCGAACATCGTAACCGAAAATCAAAGCAGTACCAGCGGTTGGTGCAGTGAGACCAGTTAATATATTGAAAAGACTTGTTTTGCCAGCTCCATTGTGTCCAAGTATCGCCGTAATTTGGCCTTCATAAATCGTTAGATTGATACCATTTACGGCTTTAATTTCTGGCTTACGACATTTTTGATAGGATTTATAAAGATCAACTATCCTAATTGCTTCACGACCTTTCATCTCGCGCACTACCGGTTCAACGTCACGGTTAGCTTCTTCACCAGGAATAAAAGAGTTCGATTCACCATTTGATGATGGTACCTGCAAATACAACTGTGAATATATTTTTTTCTACATTCTTTCATATTTGATGCTTTGTATTAATGTTAATGAAACCCACCCGGGATGTTTTCCTTTGACACCAAAATCCAGGCGTAAAGCAAAACCAGGGAGTTCTTTTTGTTCCGTATTCAGCTAGATTAAATATTTAATAGTTAATTACTAACTATTTATTAATAATTTAAGAAATATAGTAATAAGAATTTTAAAAAACACACTTGGTATAACAGAGTCAAAATAGTAAGCTAAGCAAGCATAGAGAATTATGTCCAAAGTCATCATAATAAGACTTCCACCAAAAGGTATACCAGGACCTGACCAAAGATTATCAAAGTTAACTCCTTCTCCTTGTAGATCTAGCACAAGAGCCTGTAAATGAATACCAATACTTTTATTTATAGAATTTCCTTCTTTCATTAATTCATTATTTTCATCAAATACAAACCTTATCCATAGCTAACGCAACGCCTGTTGGACTAAGAAGAGAGATTAACCAAAGTGGAACTGAACTAGAATCTTTTATGAAGAGTTGGATAAAGTACAACAAGCTCAATATCGTTACTGCAAAATTGCCAAGTACACCGGCAGTCTGATAAAAAAATTACGATTAATTTAATAGGATAGTAATGTAATAATAGTAAAGCAGTATCAATTAATTACTTACTCGTGATTTGTCGAAGAATGGTGTTATCATAAAAGCGAACATGATTATGGAAAAACTGTAGAGTACCACTAAAAGAAATATCGGTAGAAAGTGCGTATGCTGAAACATTTGTAGTGTAAAAAGTAGAATTACTCCAACAGCAGAAAGCAATAAGACAAACACACCGTAGATAATGAACCATGATAACCTGGAATAACATTAATCTTTTTATTTTAACTACTCAAATTTTCATATAAGTAAATTTTTTATATATAAATTTAGTACATACTAACATTTGAAATAAAATTCAATTTTTTAGCTCTTATGTAATATTTACCTACCAGAAAATTGAATCTTTTAGGCCCATTATCTTCATTTCCTCCTTAATCTTCTTCTCTTTTTCACCAACTATTAAGATTAGGAGATAACCGACGAATAGTGAAAGAGTCAGGACCATGAGAGGAGGTATAAGAACTCGAAGAGCCAGCATCCAATCTAAGTAAAAGTCATTCTTAGAAATATGCTCGAGAAAAAAAAGAACTTGAGTAAAAATTTAATTTCTAAACCAAATTTTATTCTTATAAATATGAATCTAATATATCAATATCTGCACTAAATATGAGAAACCACGATTTATAATTTAACATTCTATATTTTTACCTGCAGTGAAAGCTTTTTTAGGGAACATTTCCAGCTTCACATCTGGTATGGTAACATCAGTATTCCCTGTGTCTAGCTGCAATTTGTGAATATGCAGAATTTCTATACTTATTACTATACACTTTTTATTAGTACTTAATATAACATAATAATAATTTTATTAGAATATATATCATAGTATCACATCTTCGTAGTACAAATTTATTAAAACGAGAGGCTTAAAACATACTCTTATTTTTGTGATATCCATTATCATTTGTAATGCCAGGAAACCTGAATGTAGATAATTGTTCACAGGACAAGATCCACCAGTCTCTATCGACAATAAGCCACCCATCCAGTGGATCGTATCCTTTCGGCAAGTAACTGGGGCGGAATACAATTCAGTCGGTGAAGGTGGATTCGTGTATGATGGATTAGTTCTTATCTCGTACCTAGGACAATAAATTACGATATTGTAATTAAACATTTGTCATATAATTTTCGCTTTTCTATTTGATCACTTTAATTAAATACTTTTAATTCTTACAAAAGTTGCTGAGATATAGGTTGAGAGTCTTCAAAAATTACTGCTAAGGGTACGCTATATGGGTCTCTCCAATAAGCCGCTTGTAAATCATCCTTCGTGTCGAATACCATAAAATTTAAGGGAAGTTTGCCAGGATAATCCCACATTGATAACCACAAGGCATTCATTGAATTTAAAAAGATCTGAAACGAGGATAATATCGTAAAGGTAACGAATCGTTTGTACTATATTATTACTGAGGAATGCCCTATGGACAAAATTGTTAATGGTAAGAACATATACCAGAGTTTCTGTCGAGTTTGGAACCACGGCTATCGTGTTGTTCTTGTGACCATTGAACGTTTCAAATATTCCAGCTTCTTGCCTTTGCGTTGTCATCGCAGGATAGTTTGGATTTGGTGGCAACACTTTTAACAGGATTAACACCCCTAGGGTGCAAAGTGGGAGAAATATCTCCTGTAAACAATGAAATATTCTTTAAATTATATTAACATTATTCTTCTGTCTTTTAGAGGAATAAAATTTGAATACATTTGAAAGATGCTTAATAATAAATTGTTAAAGTAAAAGGGATCAAAAGAAAAACTAGCCGTATGGGAAAAAAGAAAAAAAGGAAAAAAAATGATTTTTCAGAAAATAATATAGAACAGATGAAAATTTTTATTCCAGAATCGAACAAGTTCTCAACCCTCAACCGCCACCAGCAGTTGTTCCCTTTTGCCTATTGTTAATAATGCACACGTTAAAAATCGTACGCAACGACTTCGATTGAATAAGGGCGGGAAGGAGGCGTACGGTAGTTTCTGAAAGGGATCTCCCCCCGTGCGTGCATAATAATTATTCTACCTGCACCCTCTCCCACACCTGTCGTGCAACGTGAACCTGCGCAGGCGTTCGATACAACCTCTCATCGGTCTGTTTGAATATGGGAAAAGTGGATATTCTGGTTCGCTTTCGTATTCCGTCACCATGACGATCAACAACGACCAGACTAGTCCGATTCATCAGTACTATTATTCTCGGCTTTACGGTGTTCACAGGCGAGTTGGGATTTTTTTTCCGTAGATCAGAAATTTTCGTTCAAAAAAGAATTTGCGTGCGGAGAATTAATTTAATATATGTTTAAAAAAAAGACATAACGGTGAAAAAGTATCCAACCATGATTCGGAAGGATTAAAAAATTTAAAATTATCTGTATTGTACGCACGATCAAAAATTTTTATAGGAATAATGAAATAATTCTTTTTAGGAAACCTCTTTGGATCTGCCCATGTTTCTAAGGTCTCTCGTTTCCGGTAAAAAATTCAATTTTAATACAAATCTGATTCGTTTCGCGTCTTCGCGAACAATTGTAAATCTCATTGCTGCATAATTTCAATAATAATATGGTGCTTTAAATCGCTATTTATCAATATCGATGCAATCCAGCTGAACGATAAAGGTTCAGATATTTGGACGACATATTATACTCGCTGCTGGCTTTTTTATTGAACACTGAATATTGAAAAATAAATAACTCCATGTCGTTTTTTGTCGATATCGTAACCGAGGATTCTTTTTACGATAATCTCACGCTGGGGGTAGTGAAGATTCTCGAAAGTTTTCCATATGTGAAAAATGTCCGAGTCGAGCGTAGAAACGGATGTGAAGCTACGGCCATTACCAGCTGGGAGCAACGCCATTGTTGTATGCTCCCAGAGGACATTAGAAACTTCTACGCCTCGATCGACGGCTTCCTGCTTCAGTGGGATCTCGAGATAGCAGGTAAACCCCGTCTAAAATTATCCATGCATTCCCATCATCCTCTTTGTCAGCCTTCATCCGCTATCATTGCTTCTGATCCGTGTGCTAATAATGGTTACTTGGTATTTTCATTTCCGTATTTTAATAATTACACATTTTTTTCTATTGTCTCTGCCCTCAAAATAATTATTTTTTCTATTCCGTGTAATTTCAAGGTAAATTGTATTAAGATATTTATCTTCATCACTCAGAATGGATAATTAATTAATAGTTAATAAAATAATAAATAAATAATAAATAGTTAATAATAATAAATAATTAATAATTCATGACTAAAATAATTGCTACCAGTTTGAAAGGTTATGCAGGCTAACTTTCACCATCATACCCTTGCAATCAAAAACGAAACAATTATTATTCTACATTAACATATTCATGTCCATCGATATTCAGATATTCCATGTAATTAATTAACCAAGTACACTGATCATGTGCAAAATTACAGCTAATTTACAAATTTCGTATTGAATCAAAGCAACCGTGACATCGTCATCAATTATTATTTTCCATCTATTCTTGTGATGTATCCATTACACACAGGTGAAGAATTTCCTGTTGGACGTATGGAAATTGCCAGCCTTTCTTCTTTAAAACGCTATTCGAATAATCATAAAGATTATCAAGCAGATTCCGCGAAGCCAGAATCCTGTAGTGATCCTCATAAATTGGACAATGAAGTCACTTCCAGTAGCTCGATTGATCTCGAGAACACAATTCCGATGCATATGCGAGGGAATGACCATGATTGCAAGATGTTTGAAATCGCAAGATGCTTTCCAGAGAGTGGAATGGCTAAGGTTTACTTGGTATACCGCATGAAACCGGAAGCAGAGTTGCCAACAATATGGTTACATTCTGAAGATACTAATCAATGGTGTCACTTGGCAGATAATTTTACTGTGTACTTTCGTATGATGCTGGTTCATCTAGGTTTGCCATTATGGCAGTGTTGCCTGTCTGGCTTGTCTCTGCCTCCGTGGATCGAACAGGTTTATTTTCTCGTTGGTCCTCATCTCCTTCCTTCCGCTGTCGAGCCCACAGAGACTATTTCTACTTCCATGTGGAACAACGGACCCACAAATGTCATTGACCCGGCTATTTTTAAGGGAAGAGAAGGAAAGCAAAAAAGCTCCAAGAAAAAATGACTAACTTGATGTTATTGGAGTCTGTACTTAAACAATATTTTATGATAAATTCAACCGATATTTGCATTTAGTTTCTGTTGTAATTTGTGAAACTTTTTGTCATTATAAAAATAAATTTAAATCCTTATCTTTCCTGATATATATTGTTGCACTTTAATGTAATTTCAAATGTAAGTATATGAATATAAATATACAATTATAGAAGGTATGAGGAAACAAGCTAACTAAACTTGCATCCAAAACATTTACATTTCCAAACATTCTTCTGATGTTCTGATGTTCTAACGTAGATCAATTATAAAAATGATATATTCTCTTCGTTTCTGTGTCGAAATTTATCACGCAAACGATGAAAACATTCCGGTATGCAAATTTATTTTAGAAACTTCAGGTGATATGCACAAAGAGAATTTTGTCATGATCTTTGGTGAAGTGTATTAACGACGAGACGAGGAGGACACCATCGTTCTCTCTGGTCTGTCTCCAAAACCAATGGAATAGAAGTAAGGAAAAAAATTTGGAAAAAACAGAAAATTTTGATCTTTTTTCCTTTTGTCGTCGTTTCTGGACATTCACGACGACCCTTGGCCCAGTTGGCACAAAGCTAACGCAAAAACACCCAATGAAACGAATTGGCAATACGCCCTCCCACGTTGGCAGACGTGAATGTCCACGGAACGCAGTCACTTCGTCGCCGTCCATGGAAACTATCTTCGCATCTTTCTCTCTATTGTGGCTGGTGAATTCGAATTGCAGCTCTACTGGCATTCAACGTACACGTTTCTCTTCTCCACCATTTTTTTCGCCTTTTCCATTTTTCTTTTTTTTCCATTTCTTCTTATAATGCATATTCGATTTACTCCATAGCAGACTATACGTGGAATTTACCAATCATATGTAAATTTAACTAGATTTCTGAATACTGTTTCCAAAATACTTCTTTATCATAATTCCAGTATTGGTTTTCTATTTAAGTAATATTTCGTTTCCATGTTAAAGTTCATATTTCTGCGAAATCTTGTTGGGAGATGATGACATGCTTTTCCCATCAAACATTATCCTATATAGGATACATAAAACAAGCTGAACAAAACTTTGAGTAGTCATTTTGAGTGTTGGAAAATAGAAAAATGGCACATTATTGTGTGTTCAGGTATATTTATCGTTAACTGAATATAAAATAAAATCTCTTTCCACAAAGTGCCATAAATATTAACACAAGTAGTGACTAAAGTCTGTTTTATACAAAATTATCGGTACATAAAATCTTTCAACTGACTCGACAATAGTGTGTTGAGATTAGCAATTATTGAAACAAACATGCTCATTAATAAACGATGAAAATGTGCTCTTTTTCCAATTTCCAATGCGGATTGTCCTATTTAATTTGTTTCTTAACGAGTTATATGTTACTAGAGTGTGTTTTCTTTCGGTATAGTCGCGTGTTACGTTCTACATCAAAAGTTCTGCACCAACTTGTTAAGATAAAGGGCAAATCGAAGAGAAGAGAGGAAAGGCAAGCCTAAATATAGCTCGTTAGAGGTAGAGAAAATCGATTTATACATAAAATAAGTATTCGTGTCTATACTTAGTCCTGGCCTCCCAACGCGAACCACTGCTCGATTAAGACGCCTCGTGCCATAAAATGGCTAAACCGGTGACATAAAAATCCAAGAAACTACAGTCGCATCCATCTATATACGTGCTCTTCTGCAATATGCTTTGGGTTAGGTTGCTCATTCTCCGATAATCGGTAGAATATTAGCGCATAGATTTTCGTTAACGCAATGTTTGCCAACACGTTCAATGCGAACTTAAAGACTTTCGATAGAGCCTTAAAAGCAGATTAAACACCTGCATTGTGATATTTAATTATACAAGTGTAGCAACTTCGACAAATCAGTTTCATCCATTTTTCTTCCAGTATTTGATCAGGAGTTCCATCATAAATCATCCGTGATCCATATTGTGTTGCATTTGATAAGATTAAAGCGATGGCTTAGATAATCCTTGGATGAATTTCAGGATCTTGTCTTCCGCTTTTTATTCACTTAATCAAAGTTTCATCATAAATCAATTGTAATCCATACAACATAGAATTCCAAACAATCGAAGCTTAAAAGATAAAGCAGTAGCTTAGAAAACCAGAACCAAATTTTGCAGTAAAGAAGAAAAATATTTGATCAAAGATCTAATAACTGTTACACCGAGAGATACGTCATATTTTTTCTTTTTTTAGTTTCAAGGACCGTCGATGAGTTTTCCTTGACCACAAAGAATATAAAACATTGTTAAATCAATTGTTAGAGCGTTAATTGCTTTATGGTTAACATACCACTGTAGTCTTCAGCTTCTCGCGCTTCTTCAGCAGAAGATTCTTCACGAGCATCGCTCGCAACTGAGAAAAATAGACCCCGCACGTATTCATTCTGTGAGATGTACTCGTTTTTCTAATTTCTGCAACATAAAGGAAGACTAACATGATGCATTGGTTTATACACGCCTTATTTTGTAATTAACCGATTTACACGCTTAAGATGTATGTGCAAAATTTATAGTAAAATGAAATTTCTCAAAACTCAGGAATAATTAACATAATAATTAAAAACGTGGTTTATAGAGCTTTTAGAAAAATATTTAAATAGTAGTCAACTAACATAATTCAACTTTTAAAGAAATTATTCTTTAAAACTATCATTCCATTTAACGCCCTATAACACTGAACTACTAAAGTAGTCAAAATAAGTGGTTTCCGGCTATTTCTGTAATTACTGAAAGCATAGCTATTTTTGGCGAGGTTAGTGTTAACTCTTATCAAACTACGAATGCAATTACATATACCTTTTAATTTTGCCTAAATATACCTAAATATATAATGCACTATATTTAGGTACACATCAGCAATCGGTAGATCTAGTGATAATGTCACGTGAATTAAAAAGGCCACAACCAGACAACCATCCATCTTTTCTCATCTTCTATTACAACTTACGACCACACGAATACTCTTTTCCATGCTTCCATTCAAACCTTTAAAGCTTTTACTTTCACACGACTTCTCTACCCAATTATGACTCCATCTCACTGATCATAACCGTATCAACGACCTCTACAATCCCAAACCAATTCATACGAATCCTTAACCCAACCGAACTGCTTGAAACCATCCATTCTCTCAACTTATCACCCTAAATCAAATCCTATCGGGACAGGAATGTCCCTTCTTCGTATCCTATCTCCAAGTTATCGTTATCCTTGATTACTCTCAGTCTCGTGTAAATTCCCAACTTGCGGGAGATCCATATCCCGCGGTATATCGGGTAGGCCAACCGCGGAAAAAAGATTCTTATTGATTAACATCCAGCTGCGCGGTTTGGCCGATGATTGGCCCCCGGCCGTGACGAAAGTTTTCGCTTCGACGTGGAGCTCTCTTTGTTGGGAAGTCACGGGTCTCTAACATCTGCCTGCCGTACACACATACATAGGAACAGCCGCGATGTGGTCGATAATTCGTCGTTTGCACTATTTAAGCGTTCGCGCGTGTAAGAACGAGCAATGTTCCACCGAACATGTCAAGGTCTTTGCATAATTTCTCTATAGTGACCTATGGGAGAAAAGAAAAATAGTTCATTAGTCAATGTATGGATATGTGAGACCGGAAGAGGGAGATCGAATGGTGCTCCCTAGTGCAAGTTGTTAGTCTGAGTTTCTAGTTCCGACTTCAGGCACGTGATCTCTTAAGTTATGCATCTTTCCCGCTGCAAACACTCATTTCAATGAGTCCAATTAATCGTAACATCGCGTTCATGCTGACTCGTTTCGCCAATCTAAGAAAACCAAATTACTCGCGCTAAGTAAATATTTTCGCCTCAGATACGCGCAACTCCTTGAAACATGAATTTTCAGGAATTCGTGGGAAGTATGTCTGATCTGTTCACAAAAATGTGAACTATCTCGAATTTCTCTCGGACGATTTCAAAATTGATATTCATGGATCACGAATCCATTTGTATGTACGATCTGCAGAAAAATGAAGGTTACGCGTAAAATCATACGTGATACAATTATAAATAACGTGCAACGATAACATACGATGCAAACAGCTGATAAGAATTCACGTAGCATTCTTTTCTTTAGGTATCATTGCGTCACTAGATGGCTGTTGCATAACATTGACTCCATTCTACGTGTAAGTCGAACTTTTCGTCGGTACCAGAGCAGTCCTTCTAATTGCGGTCGAAAACTTCTCCGCCGAAAGATAAAAGCGGGAACTTTTTAATCTCGAGCTCAGACACAGATCTCGAGATTTAAACGAAATAAATCGAGACTGGCGGAACATCCTGCACGATTTTTATTCGATTCGTTGCATCTTCTATGCTTACAAATTTTGCACTATCTTTCCAATACTCAATTTTCTCATTTAGATTCTTATAACGTTTAAAAAAATCTGTAACACATTATAAAAGATGTCACGGAAGCATCTTTGTTTCTTATATAAGATCATTATTCTTCTATTCCTTTTTGCTTAGCTAAAACTTCAATGAATTTCATTTTCGAAAACTTTAATTGATTGAAGATGACTTGAAATGACTTAAAGAAGGTTTGAATAGATATCTAACGAATTAACTTTCTCGTTCTCTCACGGACAGATTTTTCTTGATCTTAATGACTCTGCAATTCGTGCTGCGAAACAGGAATGCTCGACGATTAGTTGATTATAGTGTTTCAAGTAGCCTGTTAGACGTTTACACCTACAACAAACAACACAGGAGTGCATGATTCATGGATCTCGAATCGTAAAAATTTCAGTACTTGGCGATAAAACGAATAACCAGGCGCCTGGAATCTAATTTAATCGATGACTAACTGCGTTCCACCGAAACTGTGACAAGTTTATCGCTAAACCTTTGTAAAAATCAGTATTCGCTTTCTTCGCAATTGTTTGCGCAACAAAGAGCGTGTTTTTTCACGGCCAAACATTGCAATCACACCGACAGTAATTTTTTATATCGTTTCCAGAGCGTTATTTTTAAAGCTTTCCCGCCTTCGTACACACTTCTTGTAGCTCTAAAAAGTCGTCGCGACAAACGTAAATAGGGATTAGTTTATTCAGTTTTGTACTGTTGGTTTTCTGTTCGAGTTAGAGAGATCATTAAATAACGCGATTAACGAATCATCGACCCTAGACATCATCTAATACCGGATTATATCGATTTCTCAAAGATACGGAGTATTTAAAGGCATTAAAGGAATTTACCTATTTAAAGTATTAAAAGGAATTCCCTACCAGGAAGTCAAAAACTAAATACTAGGTCAAACTATTATCCCACGGACTCACACTCTCTGCCTATAAAACTGCATTTTTATAAACTACCTTACAAAAAAAAAAAGAAAAAAAAGGTGGAGGAAAAAAGCAACCACCAACCATACCCATTAACAACTCCCACTCGACAATAAAAAAAACGAGGTCATTCGATACCTTCCATCGACGAAGGTGTAATGAGAATATAGAAACCTCGAAATAAGAAATAACAACAAATAAAAAAGGAAAAAAAATATATACTCTCACGTGTCAGTCATGGATTTAACAAATGAGAAGCTAAAGGAAAAAAGGTAAGAAAAAGAGCAAAGTACACGCCATTTCCTTATGGCAAGCATGGAAGAACTTACGTGAATCACGTGCTGCTCGGCAGGTGTATCGAAAAGGGCGACTCTAATCGGCCATGCCCTCTTCCTGGTCGAAATTGGCAGCGTAGCCTGTGTAGCCAGAGGTAGCAGTGCCGTGGCCGTTTCTACTGTACTCGATTCCGATCGATCGTGACTCGCGAGCGAACGTACTACAAGTTGCGACAAAGGCATCGCGATGAACGACGATGGTGCGATCGGTGCATCGCCGGTGTGCGTTTGTGGTGCCGCTGCTCCAGGCCATCCTCATCCACGGCACCGATCACCCGCGACTTTTCTCGCGCTGAAATTTACCAAATGCACGTTCTTACAGACCCGCGACAAAACACGTCGATCGCAGTAGAAACAGGATCACGGGTAACAAATTGTCTGAGTTCAACGCGGTATATGCACACCGGATTTCAGCTGTTCGATGGGCCAATATCGGTCATTGCACTGCCTACTCACGACGACCAGGTAATTGGGTTATATTAAATATAATAGCAAGCATTTCTTTTACTACAGGCAAATTACAATTCGAGGCTTTTGTGCTATAAAGTCACATTTATAACGCTAGAACTATAGTTAGCATTGGATCCGTAGATAACACTAGACCTACCAAACTAATCAAAATAATTGATCTCAGATTTTTCCTTCTTCAAATTATCGCAAATGTGCTGTTTTACTTCGCGACTTTTCTCATGATTTACGTATGATCAATCCTTCAATTTCTATCTATTTTCTTATTCCATGTTTGCTAAGAATCGTTTACGCGCGTTTCGTTCCATCAACCACGGCTGATCATTCGATCCAACCGTGATAGATTTAGTATCAAAAACAGGACACTCACGTTCAACTACGGCAAAATCAATCCAGGCCCCGATCGACGAACGCGATTCGTTGAAGAAGCAAGCCAAGAACCAAGGCGACGACGTCTTTCGTAATGGACTCTTAGCCCTTCCGGTTTGTTGCATCCATGTGGACTACGCTCGATGGGAAGTGGAACCGGGAGGTTTGCCTTTCATCTAGGAATAAATAACAACGGGAAAGCTCTTTTACTTACGCGTTATAGCTCACATCGAAGAATAAGGAAATTTAGTTCTACGTCGGAGGACTTAATGACGGAAGGAAAGCTAATTTCGCAAGAGATTGAAGTCGACTTCGATACACCGACGTGATTCAAGTGCTGCAAGGCGAAGAAGAGATATGATGACAAAATAAAGTAATAAAGAGAGCAAAGATCCAATTTTCATTAGGACATTAATTACGGTACGTCTCTGACAGATGACGAAAATTCCTCCTGCAACCTCTGACGCGCTGATCTCCAACACTGGAACTATCAACCTGTAGCTTGTGTCCCAATATAGCATGCATAAGTGACAATTATTATTAAATCGTATGACGAATATAATTTAGAACGTTTCCGTGAAAGAGATTCAAAAATTTACAGGTTTTTAACGATTTTTCGCTCGTCTAAAAATATTCTCCTAAATTTTGAACTTAATATTTCAGCAATTGGAATGGATGGAGGAGTTTTGGTTGATTTTTATAGACTTGGTCCTGCATTAGAAATGAAACTTCTGACGCAGCTTTGTCAGATTTGTCTTTTTGTCTTATGAGTCAAATGTTTTCTTTGGAAATGCATATAATTATACATATATATATGTTATATATAAATAACTGCGTCTCTATCTCGGTAAAAATACTTTGTCCGACGCTTCTAGCGTTAATATTGTAGACTATTAAATATCGTTTTATCGAAGGATGTTACATCACAAGGTTATTCTTGCTTTTAAATAATGGATGCAATGGCGGGAAACGTGTTAATGAAACTTCTACATGATGTCAGATCATATTGAGAAGGAATCGTAAGTGATCTGACACCTAATGAGATCATCTGTCGATCATCGAGATAATATGTATGTGACATTACTCGAATTTAAACACAGATCTTGGGAGATCTATATCACGTTCCATTTTTGGTACGATACGATTGTTACACTTTTTGGAATTTCATTGTTGGATGGCTTGTTAGTAACTTTTGTGATCTTAAGAAATTATTATTACGTAGAGATGTAGTATAAAAATGAAATACTCTAACCTTTTAATAATACCCCATTTGCATGGAGAATTCAAGTGAAAAGTGCACACACTATTTTGATATTTTCTTTAACTTTTTAATCACTGAAAGTGTTATTAAAATATGAGTCAGAGGAAAAAGAAAGAAGACTTGGACATCGTATACGTGTTCAACGAAAATACCAGCGCACGAAACGCGCGACACTTCCTTCGTCCCTGAAACTTCATTCATTCCGTTGAATTGTGCGGAAACGCGAGGCCCTAATTGTCTTGATTCGGTATATTATATCTTTAGCAAACCGTATTTCGTTGGAAATTCTCTTGGAATACTTTCCTAATGGATATCTTTGACAGAGAAATTCGAAAATTCAGGAGAATGATGAAGAAAAGGGACGACAGTTTTGCAAATTTAAAAAATAGTTGCATTTAATAGTGAAAATTCATTGTTCACAACAATATTCTCCATCATCTATGAAAAATAACAAAAGAGTTTCAGATGAGCTTGGACCCATAATTTTGTTATTAAAACGTTTTGAAAAAATGGAAACCTATTTTAGTATTTATAGAATAAACTAATACTAACATAATACTGTACAACTCGTTACGAAATCAATTAATATTTCTCTTAAATAAAAAGCAAAATCCCACCTGTCCTGAGTTTTATTCTGTTTTTTTAATTTATCATAATTTTTCAATCCTCATGACAATTTGGCAAGATTTCTTTTCTCGATCACTTCATTTCAAAATCAGTTTGCTTCAGTATCCTATTCTTACATCCTCTATTACGCGAAGAACCAGTCTAATACAATCTTATTCGTTATATGTATGTACTTTCCTCTCAAAAAGTCGCAATTTTTAGTCCACTATTTATACGATTATTTTTGCACGAAAAACATAGTCACAACGCTATCAAATAGCGTGTGAAAAATATTTAATTTCGTGTCGAAACTAAAATTTTTACGATACGAAAAATATCGCATTCCTCGTGGGCTACCTTCGATCTCTCTGTACACCCTTGTATACATAAATAATGAACGAAATACACAACAGACAGACTCGAATATAAATAGTTGTAATTCAGATATAAATACTGATGTGCGCCCGAGTTTCCTTCGATCAAACGGCGGTATGTTTCATTATTCATTCGATCGTGCAGCATGGCAACAGCCATAAACAACCCAGGTTCCTCAATAAAAATGCAAATTCCACAAATTCTGCCCTTTAATCTGTATCACGGGGGGATCAGCTTCTCCCTGAACGAGTTAACGTAGACGCGGAGGAATTTATGAATTTCAAAAGCACCCTTTGCTGATTACTCGGTTGAAGAAGTAGTATTGTCGAAAGAAGGTATGACAAATTTTGGGGAAAATAAAATCTCTATAATGGATTCCATGTGTGACAGAAAAATTATGATCGCTATATTCTTTCTTTCTTTTCCTTTCTCTTTTTTTTCAAGGAATTTAGAATTTTGGAATCGTAACAATTTAATTGGTTATTCGGTAGTATGACAACGACAGTACTTGTTGCATTATGCATTTTACGCGATATGCATAAGATTGCGAATATTTTAATTCCGAGTTGAAGAATGAAATCGAGATCGAATGGTACTCGAATGTATGTAAATCTAGGTTACAAAACTATCATCGGCATTCATGAACTGGTCTTGAATAAGAAGATAGAAAAGTGTTGTCTTCGTGTATTGATTAAATCTTGAGATAGAACTCGAGCTTAAGTAGAATAATAAGATGCGATATTTAGATGAGAGTCGACGTTGCTGGTAAAACAAGCAAGATATGTGGTAAAAAAAACTGCATTATATTCGATCAGCCAAATTTGAAACAGTACCATTAGTTCAAAAATGAATTCTAAAACACGATTATCCACATCGTCAAAGTTAGGAAAATGAAATTCAACTTTCTACTTTAAAAAATTCGTAGAAACGACTATAACGAATATAAAAACCAATATAGAATACGACTATAATAATGAAATACTATAATTGAATATATACAGTGTGTCCTATTTAAATCAACCAAGTCTAATCTTCAGAACAATTGACGACACCAAAAATTTGGACAGAAATTGGATTATTTAAAGGAACAGGTAATCTCCTACGTGTAAGAAGATTTTTACCAGCCCATATTAACATTGGAATATCACAAATAATACTGCTGGGAATATTACTCCTCGACACCAAGTATGACTTTCATCTGAAACATTCTTTTCGTATAAGAAATAATATATAAAAATATACAAAATGAGCAAACAAAAATCAAGATCATCATTAAAAAATATATTAATGCAAATATCGACGACATCAACAGAATTACCTGAATATTCCACGAATGCAGAACTATGATTCTCACAATTTCTCCACCCATACTCGAACCAAATTCTCTTTGTATCAATTTTCATCCGTCTCTCCAAAAATGCCAGTCACTTTACAGTCGTCTATTTCTGCATTTTCGTCCCGCCTGCGCCATTTACATGAAAATGGTAAAACTCCTCGTGCGGCTATATCGAATTTAGTTGTTCGCTTTGAAAAGTACACGATAGGAGGCCCCTAATCGTATAACTCGGCGTCGGAAAGCACGACGCGATACTTTTAACGAAGTGGATTTCCCGCGCGTATCCTGCTGGATGTAGACACTTGCCGGCGTATAAATAATAAATACGAAATGCACGGGAGACTCTGGCTAGACGCGCAGGGTCTTCACCCCACGACATCGAGGGTTGTCGAGGTAAGGAACGAGCTAGACCAGACAAACCGACGCCGTAACGACGCCTGCCGACCAACGCTGAATACGAAACGACTGTAATTGCTCGAGTTATGTGGTAGAAACATTACTATCGTTAATCTAATCTAATCTAATCTAATCGTTAGCATTAGAACACGAGAATTACCTATAATATGAAAATTTATCACATCTATATCGCATCTTGAGTACGCGACAAAATGATAGGACATTACAATTTTCAGCGTTTTTCGAGTAACTTCAAAGCGGTAAATCAAATTTGATTTTATAGGGAATAGTTCGTACTATTCAAAGCAGTTGATAAAGATATTGGGAAAAAATCACCATCTTTGGAAAAATATCGTAAAAATAGCGAAAATCGATATTTTTTATTTATCTATTTCACAAAGTGAAGATGGTAGACAGTTTTTTTATTTAGATTCAGCACATAAAAATATATAAAAAACCTTCCCATTTTTTAAAAACAAGCTCTCGTTGATCTGCTTTTCGCTGTGTTCGTATTTTTTCGTGCTCATTTTTCCGATAGATAAGTAAAATTTGTAAAAAAAATGTAAAATATAGTTAATGTTACATATATAACATATGCATATATTGCACTAGTTTCAAGATACACTGAAAACTACAGGGTATGCTATTATTTTGTCGCGTACTGTATATAAATATATTTATTCGATATCTATAATATGTGTATATTCAACTATACTCTAATAGTAATACTGTAGTAGTGACATTGTAAATATACTGTATATAGTAAATGATGAAAATAATTAAATACAGTCAACCCTCTTATAATAGTTGACTGAAACGGTGAATTCGTTTCATGTTGTAACGAAGCCATGTCAGCGTTAAACCTGCTAAACCTAACCTTAAACCTTGGTCGTGGTAAACAATTTTACCAGATGCAAATGTAAACATTTATTTTTTGTGGCACATTAAAAGACAGTAAATGCTGAACGTCAACAACACCTGAGAATATCTAACATCGAATTCATGCATTGCATACGGTGGGAATATGATACAGAGTGCACTTTCCTCATCGATTAATAGATTGCATCATCATATAAAAATCATGCAACTTTTATGTACAAAATTTTATTTTAATATACGTCGCATTTAAAAGACTTGGATTTGAATCGAGTAACAATTTATTATCAATATATTAATTCTTCGCAAATGAATATTATCATCGACAATAAATTCTTATGTAAAGAATTTTTTTAATTTGTTACTTCCAATGCTTAGTATAAATTTTATCTACCGTTTTCCTTTGACTTGGACTTTCCCTAGTATGGGTTAGAGAAAATAAAGCAATGATCAAATGTATCTAATAAACTTCTAGTAAAATATTTAAGCAATGAAGAAGTCTAACAGATATTGGTAAAAACTTTTCCAACAAGAAAAAAATTTGTAAATTTAGGAAATTCGAAAAATATTATCTTTTTTAATTTGAATTAAATTTATCAGAAAAAAAAAAGAAGATTCACAAGTTTCCGAACAGATAGTTCCTTCTTTACCGAGAACAATATCGTAAAACTTGATTAAGGATCCTCTGTTGTTCGTTCTAACAACACAAACCTAGCGTTATTTGAATAATACAGATTGCATCTGTATCCGCATGTGTTACATAACACGTATGTAAGTGCGCATCTTCGTAAACGATTAATATCGTAGTATGCATTATAAGGCGGAGAAACTAGCAGGCTGTTTACAAGAAACGGAGAATCATTTTGTTTTCTATAATTCGAAAGATAAAAATAAATATAAAAAGAAAATTAAAAAAGAAGAAGAAAGGAAGAGAAGGTAAAAAAAATTCGTTTTACTTCCGTTCTTTAACTACTATGCAAATTGAATGTTATCTCACATTTGCGAATAAATGTGAAATATAAGCATAGGGTGAAACCTATAAATATAAATGTGTACCTGAGATAAAAAGTAAGAAAACACAGGAAAGATTTCACAATTATAAAAATGGAATAAGAAAGATACAGGAACTGATAAGTTAGGTTATTTGTAAAACCACAAATACGAGGAGGACCTCTAGAGTTACGCCTATTAAACACAAAGTGGCGTAGCAAATTAATTAACAACGCGTTTTAAGGTAATTAGAGATTACAATGTTAGATCTGCACTAAAATCGTTAAGCCCATCTTGTTTTCTATAACACGCTTTAATCTACTTATTTTTAATTGTAAGTTATATTACAACAAGTTAAATTTTAAGTTATATTTTTAAGTTAACGTTTAAAATAATTATAAATCCATTTAATTGATTGTATAGTTTGAGTTATTTAATATATGAATTCTTTTTTCAATACTTTAAAATGTTAGAAAGAATATTAATGAATTGAACATATGACACACCAGCTTTTCACTCCCACTTTGTTTGTCATCACGATGTTGAAATTTCACAAACACTTTATGGCTGCAATACCGATCGAGAAACGTAACGAAAAGGATCGGATGACTTCTTATATATACATATAATTTCAATCATAATTTTCGTGTCGTAGTCGTGCTCATTCGTTTCTTCGCTTTCGTCTTCGTCCTTTTCACCAGTCGCATGAGAGAGAGTAACCCAACGTCAAGTCGGGTCTATCGACCGGGGCAGAATCAGAGGGCGGAAGAGGGTCAGAGACGCGGAACCACATTAGAACGAAAATTCCGTCCAATTACCGTTTGTATAATCCGCACACGGTGTCGACACACGATATGCTGTTTGCACATGGAGTATTTCGTTACATGAGATGCACTACCTTTGTTCAAACGGTTAGCGGTTTCTAATTCATTTAGGGCGCATTTAAAGCGATTACTACTTTTACATTAGTACGTAGAGGTCGCTAAACGTCATACACGTCCTCGTGGTAATAATGCTCTCGATCATTCTCCTAGGTAGCATCTTGAATCAACTGTTTTCTTCTTGCAATATGTCACACTCGATGAGAAAACTGAGCCCCGGTTTTCACTTGCAAATCAATTGTTTCTTAAAAATGACGTAAAGGTTCGTCTTCGCGATCATATACACAAAATACAATGGCTGAAATTGATCTACCATGAACTCTCATTTTTCGTATGAAACTTTCAACCTTTCTCGCGTTTCCGATGCCTTATGAGTGAAGATAAATTTATTACAAATGTAGATTTTATTGTTTCAGTCATGGTTAAACGAAAAATATTTGTAATTTGTCGAGTCTTCCAATGTTCAGAATTTCCTTTGTTGAATCAATCTATAGTAACGTCACTGATGCGGTACTACACCGAAGTATATTTCGATGTAAGCTTTCACAAAGAATTCATGTTCCTTTGATTTTGAGATGTGTTGAATTAGATAGTTGTCCGAATTGCACACGCGTATACGAGCGAATAAAAATGAGAAAATGTAATTGAACAGAAGAAATAAAAGAAGAAAATAAGAAAATATGGGATTAACAGAAACTATGCCAAATATATATTGAATATATATAGAAAGGAGATAATATAAACTATAATAAGTAAAATAAATATATAGATAAGGGTTAATGAAAAAAATTGCAAAGATATATTTTACCCCGTTATCTTCTCTCTCACTCGATCATAGCACTCTCGCGCTCTCTCCCTCTCCCTCTCTCTCTTCCTCTCCCTCTCTCACAAATCCCGCTTCACTCTTCACGAAAATCGATTCGCTACCGGCCTGGACAGTAGTACACGTCCAACGATTTAAAAGTATACCTTTCCGCAATGAAACATTACCTTATTACACCTCGTATCAACTAACAACCGTGGTTTGAAGATCTCTATGGTACAAGTCATAAAAACTGATTGACCGGCATAACCAAGTTCTCGTTTGCTATCGTTATATTACAGCTACAAATTTCGCTACAACACTCAAAAGACGATTCTCGCAAATGATATAAAGGCAAATGAACGATATCACGATTTAAACGGCCACGGGTACGAAGAATTGAAAGAAAGTCACGATCAAACACACCCCCAATACACACCCGTCGGCCGACGACGCCAGACTGCGCGAGAGCGCCACCTTTCTCGCCTATTCCGTTCCGTCCCCAACCTTTGTACTCCTTTACATTCGCTATCTTCCTCCTTCCTTGTAGCGTTATGGTTCATTTTACATATAACCCTCTCTTTTTCTTTCACCCTTTATCCTACCGCGTTTCTTTTGTTTCATATCTTGATATTTCACTTACCAATTCTAACTACTACTTCTTTTTTATATGCTTTGCGTTTCTAACGACTCTGTATTTTCACTTTCCATTGTAGTTCATCATATCAGATATTCTATCGTTATTCTCCTGTCATATTTTATTACATTTCGTCATATATTCGTCTGTTTTAGCATATTTTCTTTATTCTCTCTCCTTTCACTCTATTTCCTGACTTTTTTCATTTCACGCTACCTATCTCTCTCTATTCTTACCATCGCCATTCTCCTTTTTCTCACTTTGCACCCTGTTTCTAGTCCACGAACCCTGCCTCGAGCCGCGCAGTCGCATAACGTTGCGAATAGGCCCGCGTCTGCGTTCTTCTAATGTTCCCTGCTTTTTCGAGTCTTTCTCTATTCTTTCTCCCCATTCGCTTTAGAACCGTTCGTTGGAGTTAGCGTGATCTGGAAGAAATTATCCGTTTGTCCCACCCTCCTATAACAAAAATACGGTGTATCCGTCTGTCGACGTCAGCCGGCAAATGACGACATGCGTTTACATCCTGCTATCATTGTCAAGGGGAACATATGACAGTGTCGTAATAAATTATGCAAGTCTAAATAAAAATGAAGTTTATCTTGAATTCCCCAAATGTTATCTAACAGTTCCACAGACTACCTAGTAAATATAAACAATAAATAAATATAAAAATTTAATATTTGATACTAAAACTTAAAGTGAATTATCATATAATTATAAATTCTTTAGTATAGACAATGTTTAGTTAGGAGTTCGTAACTTTTTATATGATATAGAGATGGCGCTGGTAATCGTAAGAAAGAATACACGCAATCGAAAAGAATATTGATGTATCGATAAGAATTACTATTTAATGCGGCAAAAAAGTGGTAGCGTATGTTCTCACGGCTTTATGCCATATGTTACTTTCGTATGCAATAGTTATCTCCACGCAATTAGGTATATTTAAATCTACTGATTCCTGAGAATTAAGATTCGTGAATTTGCGATTAAAAATTTGTGATTATAAGTGTTTCAATATTTTCATAACAGCATTTTCTAAATTGTATTTTATATGAATCTCTTCTTAAATGCTGAGGCAAAGTCAAACATTTACTTCTTTACTCCTTCCAAGGAGTACGATATCAACTGTATTATTGATGTATTCTTCGTATAATCTATTGATATCAAGAATTATCTTACGTTTAAAGAAGTACTTTTCATTTTTATTATTCCTATATTTCTTCGTGTTTTAACATTTTTCCTAATTATAAATTATAAATAATACTATTTAATTATATAAAACATCGGAATTTCACAAAACTAAAAGTCATAAACATAAAATATTTATTGATAGAAATAAATATCTTGTACTACAATTAATGAATAAAATATATTTAAACTATTTATAACGCCATCTTTTTTTAGTTTTGTCATGAATCCAAACTTTCCAAAAGCTTAAAATCACAAAGTGGTCAAAATAATATACTAGGTTATCTAAGTTAATAGGTGAAACGAAATTGAAAGGAAGGATCGCCTAAGGTACAACTGATACTTAGGCGTGGTCTGACCCTGATAGATTTACTAAGTTTTGATTAAAAAAGAGGCACTCCTTCAAACATTTCGCTAATAAAAAGAATCAAATCGATATGTATTAAACTACAAAAATATTTTTACATAACCTGCAATTACATTTATTTATTTTAGTTATATAACCAAAACCCCATGACATTTTTGTAGTAGGAAATATAAAATCTGCAGTAACATCTGAAAAAAGTACCTTCGACCTTTGTGTTCGTAATAATGTCAGAGTATGCGAAAACAATTTCGCTTTATTTCTGTATCACATTGACTCCTCTATCTTTTTCTATCAAATAAAATGTTTCGTGGTCAGATTACCACGTTACCAGACTGCGTGTTTGTTATCAAAGAAAGTAAAATTACTTTCATTATCAAGAAACAAAAACTATGTTATGTTTTTTCTATATTAATTTTTGGCAAAAATACATGAGTTATCTTCTTTATTAAATTATTAACATTAACATCCATTATTCCACTAACTTCATATTTGAAAGATACCAAATTCTTGATTGATTTTATATCATTAAAATTAAATATTATATCTAATCTTCTGTAGTATTTAAATAAATTTAGAACGCTGATTATAAAATATATTATATAAATAACAAAAAATGAATAAGCATATTAAAATTTATGTTAGATGATCATACCTTGGTTACTATATTTGCCTTTGAACGTGAGAGCTTCGACATTTCAGTTGGTAGAGCTGTGAACTGGAGTTGGTTTGTCGAAATTATGGGACATCAGTTAGTGCGTCGCTGGTTCAAATCCAGCTCGAAGGAAATTTTTTTTCGCACAACTTTCCATAATACATGTGAAGGCATAATAAAACTTCAATAAAAAAGGAACAAATAATGGTATTAGTTAATGATAAAATAATTACCTTGCAATTAATTGTATATTAAAATAACTAATAATCAAAAATACACAGAATTCTAAGATTTTTACTTGAAATTTGTTTAAAATATTGTTTATAAATAACTAACAATTTACTTAAACGCATACTCGAACATAAATACACCAATCTCAGTACTGTCTGATTAATTTTGTTTCGTTCCCATGTAAAATAAAATTTACATATAGAAATATGTAGTTTTACTATATGAAATATATTTTAATTTAGTATAAAAATATATGAACAGAGGAAAAATTATTTTTCGACCGTGACAGGACTCGAACCTGCAATCTTCGGATCCGAAGTCCGACGCCTTATCCATTAGGCCACACGGTCAGTTGTATGACATTATTCTAACTTTTTATACTATATTACGGTGCATAATTTATTATTTTAAATTATATAATAATATATCCTTTTTTTCATGTAGATAATATAAATAAAGTTAAAAATTCAGAACATACTTTATTTTTTTCTCTATGTTCTTATAATAATTTTATCGCAAATTTAAAGTAGGCTTTCTTAAAATCGAAAATACTATATTATCGACATTTATAAAATCAATATTACAAACATGGTATAAAATAGGCCACAAATAAAATGTAAGATAGATCTATTAACTCAATGCATTTTTACCACTCACGCTTTCAGAAATTTTTAATTTTTTTAATACAATTTTCAATATCATCAATACGATATGGAATATGATTAGGATATTAGTAGTAGGTAATAAATTATACTTAATATTTTGTACGATATTATAAATTATAATAAGACAAAAGTAACAAAGCAAATAACTAGAAAATTTTATTTCACTCATCATGGTGCACCGATTCGATTCGATTCGATACATACACTCTCCCTTTACCATCCAAGTATCACGTGTATGTGCCTTCGATTATATTATCTTCTTAATTATTTTTTAAAACAATTTTATTTATTATTTTATTTATTTTTCACTAATTACTTTTTCAATAACTTTATTATTATTCTACCTATTTCTGTCAATAATTCTATTTCTCGTCTATATTACCAATTTTCATTTTTTTATGCTCTCTATTTGTCCAACTGATAGACATAACGTCTCATTTGTGCAAAAATTACAATGATTAAATATTTTATAAGTCATCGTTTATTACATTTTTATATCGCAAAGGAATTTTTTTTATTATACTTAAAACATAATGTCGATTATTTTATGTTTCCCACATCTTCATATTTTTAGCAGTTCTTCATGTTTACTATATTCGTGTTCTACTAGATGGCGTTAAACACTGAACACAAATTATTAAGTTTAACAAGTTTGATAGAATAATAGCATTTTATTATTACTTTTAAAAAATTTTGTAAAGGGAATTAATAAATGTATCTAATTTATTGAATTAATTTCTTGGTTCACCATTTTTTATGCAAAAATAACAAAGCTCAAGAGTGAAGTAGAAATGACAACTTTTCATACTCAACTTATTTATGCTTTAGGGAATAAAACAAAAGTGCTTTCAGAATTAAAAAAGGTATTTGTTCGTCCTTTAATACAAAGTAAGTTTGATTTTAACATTATAAATTATTTCCATATTGTTTTATGTATTTCATCTTTAAGAAAGAGTTTTAATTTATTTCGTATAGTAGCTATAAAAGCAATAAATCAAGAATATATAGAAGAAGGAATATTGGATAGAATAAGTCAAAAGTATAATGTGCCAGTAGAAATTGTGGATGAATATTATTCAGTTATTTTCATCATATTAAAAACTCACCTAAGCACATTGTCACAAAATGTTAAACCTACAGAATTTAAACAGATATTAGAAGAACTGAGGTGTGTATTTTACTAATGTTATATACAATTCTCTTATTTTTGATTTTATTGTAATGGAAATGTATGATATTGTTTCCATAGATTATCTTCAGAATGTATTGATGATCTCTCCGTAGTTGTATATGGTCAAAAACGTCCAGAATTAATATCAGGATTAATACAGAAAACAAAATTTTATCCACACTTAGTATCTTGCAAATGGCGCATAGATATTACTATTTCCTCTAGGTAATTTTGTTTTCAGCAAAATATGAATTTTATAGTACTAATATGTGTAATTTTAAAATTCACTTTACAATGATTATTTATACATATCATAAAAATTACTTATTTCAATTTTAATATTTTTTAGCATATTGAATAGGGTCTTAGAACCACATATCATAATGGAATGGACATTTAACAATGGGAAACGTCAGATATTTGAATTATCTTTATCAAAGTTTCATCAACTAAGACATGCAATAGCAACAGTTCTTGTAGAAATGCAAAAAGTTGAAAAACAATGTGCTTCCAAAAATATTATATGTAGCTGATGATGGTAGCAATATATATATATATATATGTCTTTTTCATTTTAACATTATGTAATATTGTACTAAAAATAACAAAAGAAATGTAAAATATACTTTATATTTTAGAAACTATAATATATATAACGATGTAAACAATTAATAAAATTAATTGACTTTTTCATAATTTTTTGGAAAGTTTATTATTTCTACCCATACAAATGCTAATAAAAGAATGTATAAATATCTTAAAAAATTATAGATGTTTCTTTTTATTATAAAAAGATATATGTAGTACTTTTGATCAATTCAATAACAATTGTAAGTGACATGTAAGGTACGTCATATCATGCAACTAGAGTGCGTAGTTGTATATATAAATCTGTATAGGTGCGTCTATCTGTACTTTTGAAGAACCTCGAATATTTTTAAAGAAATGTCATCTTTGCTTAAGAATATTTGGAAACTCTCACGAAATCTTCCTATTATAGCACCTAAATGTAAATGATTTTACTTGATAATTGTTGATTTTTGTATTTCTTGTATTATATAATGAATATAAATTAAATCAATAGGTTATCCAAAATTTTTGCCCTCGATGAGAATGAATAGTACGGAAACTGAAAAAGGAGAAGTACGACGTATGTAAAATTAATATTTATTATATATTTTATAATTTAATCTTCTTAATTATAAATACTTTTTATGACATATTTTTATAACCTTTTATATTTAATCATGTATTGGATTATAATTTAAGTTTTGATATTTACATAAATATATTTTTACCAGCAACAATACGTAAAAGTGTAACAGATCTGACATCTCTAAGGGATTTAGGTTTATATATAAGTGCATGTTTATCAAAGTATGTTCAGAAAGTTCAACTTGCTTGTGGCGATGAACTTGAAGTATTAATCTGTCCAGATGGAATTATTCCAACAATACAGTTCTTAAAATGTCATCATAATACTCAATATACTGTGTTAACAGATTTAACTGCAGTAGATGTTCCTTCTCGTCCATATAGGTTTGAGGTAAACTTAGACTTAAGAGTTAACATTTTAATATGTCATGTAATAAATATTATTCTGTTTTCTAGGTTATCTACAATCTTCTTTCCTTGGTATATAATTCACGTATTAGGGTAAAAACATATACAGATGAATTAACTCCTTTACCATCAATAGAAAAAATTTATGATGCTGCTAACTGGTATGAGCGAGAAGTATGGGACATGTTTGGTATAGTGTTCAAAGATCATTCAGATCTTCGTAGGATTCTTACAGATTATGGTTTTGAAGGTCATCCATTAAGAAAAGATTTTCCTCTGAGTGGTTTTGTTGAGGTAATTTCCCAATGTAATACCAATGTTCTTTTTTATCATTGTTCAAGTAGTTTTAATTGATAATGTACAATGTGAAATTATTTCTTTTTATGTTTAGGTACGTTATGACGATGAATTAAAAAGAGTTGTATGTGAACCACTAGAATTAACACAGGAATTTCGAAAATTTGAGTTATCTGCACCATGGGAACAGTTTCCTAATTTCAAAGATTCTCCTCCTTCTAATGAAACTAAGGAAACTGACTCTTCTAAGGCAAAGAAATAAATTGTACCGTTATAGTATGTTATAAATATATATTAAAAGGGACATGTTTTAATTGTTACATTACTATTTATTTAGTGATGTTATTATATATCTTTCCAATAAAATAGATACAAAATATACAAACGAAAATTTTTGTAACTTATTTATTGATTTTAATAACATGAACAATTTACTTATTTCTTGCATAAGATACTCCAAGTGTGTTTTTTATTGTTATTTATTTTACATATTGTATAATATAAATGTGATTCATTAATTACAAAGTGCTTATACTCTAATTTTAAGGCATATTTTTCGGTGAGATGTAAACAAATCGAATCATGACAAAATTGACTGACCTTATTTTTAATATTTGTGTACATAACAATAGTAATTACTCTATACTTATATTTTTCTTAAAAGAAGTGTACAAGTACTCAACCTTTGCTTTTTACAATTATACATATGCTAAGAATATTTTATGTGCACTAAATTATATTAATTCATTTTTCTTTTCTTTTTTATTTATTTATGATAGCACCAGCAATTATAACGTTTTTAAACTAAGTATTTAAATATATTCATATATTTTATTTAGTACCAACAAGAACTTACTTCTGCAGGATAAGTTTTTTCAAGTGTAAGGCAAGTTACTTCCAATTTACAAGAAAAGAGAACCTTTGTGTTATTTAAAAATATATTTTTTGAAAATTGTTTCCTTATCAATCCACCTGAAAATGTGCGCGTGGATCATATATATATATATAACGTCATCACAGTGCCAGTGATATATACATACATAACATTCATTCTAACATCACAGTTTGTAAAGATATTATCATCTGTGTGTGTATATGTGTGTACGTGCGTGCGTGCGTGCGTGCGTTGTGTGTGTGTGTGTCATACATGTATAATTGTAATATACATTTGATGAATTTCTACAATGATCATACAATTAAGCTCTTGTCCATCATGAAATACTTAATTCCAGTAAGTGAATACACTATAATTTTTCAATTGGACTTGCTTTCTCTGTGATTTTTTGTCGTTTTTTAATGAATGGAACGAAACCCCACAATGACGCGCCTACTACTAAAATAATTCCTAAGATACTGAAGATCGGTCCGTAACTGCCGATTTGTTCAAATATGATACCGCAAGTGGGAGGACCAACCAACTGTATAATTCCATTTACGAACAATGAGATACCATAAGAGGAAGTTAACTTCTCGGTCCCTAACATGTCGGCCATTATAACTGCGGTAATACCAACGTAAATACCGGATGCTAAACCGAAGACACCGCAGTAAACTGACAGTAGAGTGTAGCTTGTGGCTATAGGGAGAAGAGTCAACGAGATTCCAGAAATAAACAAACCACCAACGAAATACCAATGTTTTGGCATAATTGAGACATCGGAGAGGGCAGAACCCCCTATACGTCCTATTAAATCTAATATGGATACAGTCGAGAGAAGAAGGGAAGACATATCTTTTTCGAAACCCAATGAGATTGCATATGCCGGTAATAAGATGACAAAATTCGTATAACTGACAGCATTTGTAGAATTTGAGATCAAGATTACCAAATAGATGGGATCCTTCAATAAACTAAAATCAAAGAATTTATTCCTCTTCTCTTTTACTTCATCCTTGCTTGTTTCTTCGGCACCCTTCCTTGCAAACGTGCTCGATATCGCGTTCAAGGTTAACGTGGACGCTCTTTCCGGCTGTAGAGCGGAAAGTGTGCTTCCATGATACGGTGTGCTGATATAGTTAAAGGATGACATACTCGGTGACTGGAAGGGCGATTTCTGACGTTTTGATAGCCTGCCAGAATCTCCACCACGTTCCGGAACTGCGTGCAGTGCCGGCGTGCTGTGCATCTGGCCCGTTATCTCACGTCCCGTGGGCATGCTAATTTTTCTCGTTCGGCCTTGAACGGGCGTGTTCTTGTAATATTCTAATGCAACACTGGACGCGCTCTTTGGTACCATTGGTGCGGCTTTCTCATTTGTGTTCAAAGAAGAAACAATGTGATTTGATTGCTTCTCATCTTCGGGACTAGTTACTGTAACCGAGGAGGCCTCCACGTCAGCGTCGTTTAATTTGTTCGACGACGATGCTGGTACCATGTGTTTTTCCACCGGTTCGTACAAAAGAGCACTCGCCCATACATTCAAAGTGACAGCACCCATTATTAATACTGCACCTCTGTAAAAAAGTAAAATGGACTTTAGCGTTTTTTATTCGGCCCATCGATAGAATTAACTATAGCTTACAATATCGTCATCGGGATATTCCACGGCTGTCGAGAAAAAACTTCACTTCGTTAGACCAATTACATAAATACCAATTTTTACCAAATATGCTTTTTTGACGCTAATTTTTTAGTTAGCTAATCAACTAATTAACATTGTTTTATCACACAAATATTTGATTAATGAATATATAAACGTGGAGTGGAACAGAAAACGTCTGAAAATATTTAATAGTTATTTATTTTAGAAAAAAAAAAGGATGTTTCTATGTAGTGACTTATGATGCAACGAAATGGAAATAATTTAAAAGATTATAAATACAAGTATTTGCAAAAACGCGTTATTATTACATTCTTTTAATACTTCTTAATTATTTTATTTAATTATATATAATTGCTTTATATTTATAAAATACTTCTTGTTTATATCATATAAATTGTAAGTAAAGATACAAAAATTAATATCACCAAGTAGAGGTAGCGTCTAAATATCATTTGTTAATACTGTTAATTATAATAATAATTTTCAATAAACAACAAATGTCACATACCATTAACTTCTATACTAATATAACATGGTCAATACTGGATTATACATATTTCGCAAATTACCACTGACTATCACAGATAAATCACAGCCTTATATATTCCAAAATACATAAGACGTATATTAATCACAGATTTTTTTTTTATAATAATCGGCTTAATCAAGAATTCATTAAGTATTATGCATAGTCTGCTGTAGGCTTGTTTATCAGTTAGAGCAGACTATAATATAGACAATTTGTACGTCAATCTGAAACTGTATTTTATATGGACTAAAAAATACAGGAAATTTTATAGAAAATATTAAAATTTACATTTAACTTGATACTAAGCAAAGTAGGAAAAAGTAATAGAAAACTCAAATGAAGAAATTTACTTGCACGTTAACGGGAACTTTGGACAACTGATACTTAAATCTTCTTTAAGCAGAAAGAAAACAACAAGAAGAAAAGACTGTCAAGAAGAAAATATGTAGCATTTCTTTTCTGTTTTTAAAATAGATGGAAATGGAAACTATATTTTTAGCATGCGTTTCAGATCGCGTACAATATTCTGCGGTACGAGAGAAGTTCATCTTCTTCGAAATCGCATTTTGTCCCTGTCTTCTTCCATGGAACACATTTTTCTGTAACAAAAGAAAAAATAAAAGGAACGCTTAGACGAGTGGAAACGATCTAGCTTACATCTATCGGTATAGTTGTATATATGTGTGTAATATGCATATATAGTATATGTATATATATAGTAATATGTACACAATATATTAAAAAATGTGTTTACGTTTCGAGGCTCGTTACATATAACGATATTCCACATTTGCACTAAACAGAGATTACAATTTTTGTTTCAATCACGCATTAAGTCATCGTCGCAACAAAATTCTCATGATGCAAAACATGAATTTTTGATGCAACGCGCGTTGCTTCGTATCGCTGCGAAGTAAAATTTTAAGAAAATAAAATATGCTGGTAAATAAAAAAATAAAAAAAGGAAGACTAGTTGACAAATTATATATATTAGAATTGTTTCATATTTGATATGATTTATTAATTAAATTATATTTCGACTCGTTAATATCGCTTAATAAAAAAGAAAGATACTTATTCACTCAATTGACAATGTATTACCAACATATATTATACGTTCATGAAATCAAACGGACAGAAAGAACGTTTACTATATTTCGTGTTTGTAAGATAATATTATCACGTAAGCGGAAAAGAATGCATAAAAGTTCTTTTGTTTAGATTAACAAATAATATTTTACTATGTCTACTACAATAGCAAATAAACAGTATGAAAATGCATGAAAATAGGAGTTATCTTAATTCCATTTTTGCAGTTACGACACATTAACACGTGAATATCACGCGTTTACCGCGTATAATGCACATACTTAAAATGTGCAAGTACTTTCAACGTCAAACAGTAGGTTTCCGTAGTTCTCGCATGGATGTGATTATTACGTATGCACACACAACGAAAGGCACACACGTGTAATTGTATTTCTTCCTCATCAACTATTCAATAGGTGTTTTTCCCCCATCTTTCTGTTTTACTTTCAAATGACATTTTAAAAAAATTGCAAAAGTTATACTATCTTTTTATATGCACATACATATTTATTTCCAACGAAACAGTTACACTTCGTATACTGAACGATACTTTAATCTCAATAATCCTTTGTAATACACAGACTGTATCGTTTGCACCAATGATAAGTATTACAATTTCGTGACACTGGGACCACACTTAAATCATTAAATAATTTCCCAATTATGGAACTTATCTTTAACATCGTAAAAGAACTCCATCACGATAGGTTGAAGAGTATTGGTTCAGAACTAATTCGTCGTTTCTTATTGTAGTCTCTAGTGTATTACATGTAGTAATTTTATTGGTGGAATTGATAAGATAGAAAGCGTAATAGATATTTAGATCATTAAAGTACGAGACACAGGACAAAAACGAATATATGATTCTTACCTAAATCATATCAGATGCGTTAATTGCCATTTTCACGTGTAGACTTCAGGGTTAGTATATAGAACATTTCTGCGCCTTTTAAAATTAAAATAGCATTAAGTAGTCGCGAACCTAACACCGTTTGGACAATCAACGATTATTTCTTTATACGCATGTATACATTACCGTGGGTATATCGAATGGTTAATGTTCGTTATCTTTAATGACAACAAGTTTGATAAAGAGGCTGTAAAACAGCTATAGCAGTTGTAAATTTCGCAGAGATATACAATAATGTTGTGTACACAAATGCACGCGCGTTGTCGATCTGAGTATCTCGTAAATGAACTATACACATGCATGATCGATCATCGACACATTTAATTAGTTGTAATAATGATGTATAAATACTCACCGAAAATAATCTTCACAAAATATATATGAACTTTCTACGACAATAACACTTTATTTACGGTTCTTCATGAGAACAAGAAGATACACGTAATAATACACAAACGTCTTGTATTTTTTGTGACAGAATTAGTGTCACAAATTACATAAAAGTGGACAAATCAAGCTCACAGATCACAGATACATTCAATTTTATCAAAAATAAAACGAACGTGTTAAAACATATTTTAATTAAATACATCATTTAATTAATCAATTTTAAAATACTATTAATAAATTATATAGTGTTGCATTAATCCAACAAACCAAATACTGCTAAATAAACATTTTATCAAAATAAAATAAAAATTCAATTTTTAATTTTACTTATTCATGATGGACTCCTGGTAATTTTTTAATAATAATAAAATAAATTTTTATCGAGATTATAAAGCCATACCTGCTGCTTTTTCTTATAGGTATAATAAAAAAACGTACCTGTAACCATATTCTCGTAGTAGTATCCCTAGGATGGGTGGAAGAAATATTGAACCTAATGCACTACCGGATATGCAAAGTCCATTTGCAAGCCCACGTAATCGTACAAAGTATGAAGTTACTATATACACAGTTGGAGGGAAAGCTAAGCCAGCTCCAATTCCTACCAGAACACCATAACTAAAAAATTAAATAACCAATAAGATTATATATTTACATAAAAAATATTATAGTTTTATAGTATACTTTTTATTTTAAATCATAGTTACCTAACACACAAGAAGGCCACAGAGTTTGCAAAATAACTTAGCATCATTCCTGCAGCAGCAAATGTTCCTCCTAATAAAGTTACTGTTCGATAAGAGTATTTAACTGATAATATACTAGACAAAGGACCTACAATAAAAATTAATCTTTCAATATTTAATTCTACATTTTTAATATTAAACACAATGCTTAATATCTTTAAAGGAGTATGAACGAAATATATTTCTTACCAAGTGAACTATACAGAAAATAGCATAAAGCTGGTATCCAAGCAGCTGCAGCAGGTGATGCATCAAAAACTTCAAGAAATTCAACAAATAAAACACCAAAAGATTTTACTGTTCCAGGAATAAGTAGATTGACCATAACGGATGCTAAAAGTATAAGCCATCCCCATCCTCCATCTGGTGGAACTAACTCTTCTTCAGCTATTACACTTTTAACTAAAATTTAAAATAATTATTGAGTTATTTTTGTTAAATGTTCATTGTTTCAGTACATTTTATAAAAAAGAATAATTAAAGATTATAATACAATTTTGATCTTTTATATAAAAACAAAAATTGAAGTTTCTAACTATAGCACACTTGAAACAGTTTTGAGTCAGAAAATCATCTATTATTATCTCAAGGGACATCATACTTTTTTTATATTTGACACACGGTATTTTCCCGCTTAAAAAACATAATGTATAAAAACATTGTCAAATATAAATAATATTTATATATGTATACATTTACTATTAAATTTTATTAACAAAATTTTAAGATTTCTCGATTATTTTGTGACGCATTTTTAATTATCCATATAGAAAGAAACGATGCAAAATATTTTTAAAAATTACCGTAAATTTTTATTACGGTTCTTTTGTTCTCTTATGAGTTAAAACACATCCAGTGGACGTGTGTTTATTCTTCAAGAAAATAAAGAAAGAAATGAAAGCATATTCACGATGAGAATAACTTACTTTGTTTATTGGTCCCGTTGAAATTATTTCCTTTTTCATTCTTTTCATTCTCAGAGTGCTGCGATACGAGCGTGTAGCTTCCTTTCTTATCTTTTCTTGTACCGAATTTGATGTTGATTCCATTGTCTTGATCTTGGACTCGTTGCATTGTCATCGACCTTTTCTTTTCTGTTCACACTAGCGCGCGCGCGCATACACACATGTACAATATATCTATGTAATTATACAAAGGAAAAGCGAAACCAATCCACTGGTTCAATGCGAAGAAGGAAAATCTAATGTGTGGTTATCGTGTGTATCGTCGTTGGTGAACGAACGCTAGTTAAAAATGCCAGAAAATAACAGAAAAAGGAAAAGAGACAAGAGAATATAAGAGAATGAAGCCGATAATGCACAGAATTACAACACCGAATAGATATATCGTGACCTATGAGTGCACCAATATCAATGTTCACAAACTGCAGGATCAGCAGTCGTGTCCTCCTCTTCGATTGCTTCGGACTTCATCAATTTCAATCTAATGCTGGTGGTTACACCTACACCGTAGTTTTTTCTGTTTCTATGATAAGGTGAAGCACGTGAATCGGTCATAGACCCTGATCGTGTGAACGATTTCCTTCGAAAAAGAGGAAAATATCTGCGATGCAAGTGACCTGACGCTACCAACAGCGACCCGCAATGCGCCGATGTTGCGAACAATTTCACTGAGGTTACACCTCCACCCGTACCTTTTGCTTTCAATACTCTGTCAAGTTGCATAGAGCACATAAACAATGGCATGTATACGGAAATTCTTATGCACGATTCACTGTCATTCTATGAAGAAACGCCTCAATTTCACACTATTCAACTCATACAACACACCAAAACAACTCGTCCGTCGCGGAACGACTGATCAGCTGTGTATCACGCAGGGCCGTTTACCACTACTTCATCCTGTCTCCCACCATATCCACATCCTCCCATTTCAGTCTTCCCTCCGGTGTTCCGTCGATTTCTCTCCCACTCTTTTTAAATGATATATCTCCTCTCCCTGTCTCCTTTCTGTTCTCAATACCTCTCCTTTCTCCCATAGAGTACCCTCTTGTTCTGTTATACCTTCTGCAGGTCAAGTCCAAACGGTAAGAAAGATATACCAAAGTATAAGGGAATGGAAAATTTACAACGGTATACAACAGCAACAGAGGCGCGCATGGGAATCAAATGTCGGATTTTTGTCCTCCGTGATGTGAACGTCGCATGAATTTAATATTTGTCACTCACGACCGCGTCCCACTTCGAGAATAGAGAAATCGAGGTAGGAAAAACAAGCCCCGAGCACCGATAAGCCTCGTGCCCGATACTGAATAACGATCATGAAAAATTGTTTGCGACCTCGCCTTTCAGCTTATCATGGAAAGGTAAATTTTGAGACAACCCATCGGCAAGTTTACTCACCTCTTCAGGAACCATTAACTCTGTATATTTGCGATGAACTAATTCATGAAATTTTTGTGCTTATGCTATAAATAAGTTAGAGATTTATAATACTATATTAATAAATGAATTGTTTTAAACGTTTCAGTACTTGGTATTACGTTGAAGATAATTTTTGAATTTTTAAAATATAATGAATTAATAATAAAAATTACTTAATAATTTTATAATAAAATACTACACGTTAGTACGAAATATAGAATAGTAAATAGAATTCAACGATTTAAATTACAATAATTAAAACTGTGTGGAATAAATACTATTCAGAAAGTCAATATGAATACTTTGGACGCAATGACACTACTTGGTTACGCAGAAAAGCAAGATTCTATCGTTTCAGTCATATCGCAAAGTGCTGGCATCATGTGTTTGTCAGAGAAGCCATTGTGCGTACATTTGACGATGACTGTTCAAAGAATTAGAGCGAAATATTTGTGATAGTGCGAACATAACACAATCCTCTCAATGAACAATAACTATAATGAATATACTATTCGTTAGAAAGCGAAAATATAAATGCGCTAAACTACTAAATATGTACACTTAAATTAACTGGAACTTTTCGATTCGTAATATATGTAAATTATACTATTGTATTATTAATACGTTAGATATTTCCCGTTAATTAAAAATAAAAATATTTTTCAAGTAAAATTATTTCTACTAATACTATCGAAAAATAATAATTATTTTGCTAAAACAATATTTTTAAACTGTTGTCTCGATTGTGCTTGAATTTTTTTAATCAAATTGGATGCTCCACTTTTTTCGAGTACATAAAGTCGCACACTTCATTTTTATCATACATTATATAGAACATATGCGTGACGACACACGTATGTTGACATATCTGTCATACATCTAACAGATTTGTACTAAATCTATAGAATTCTGATAAACAGGTTCGAAGTATTTTCAATACTCAAAAATACGTTCTTTGTTTTTCATTATATAATTGTGTATTTTATAGTATGTTGAAATAAGATGGAAAATAACATTCGAGGTTATAAGCTTGTCAATCTCACTCAATATTGATAAATCGATTTAGTAATTAGAAAAAATAGCGAGAAAAGCAATGAATATGCGTTTAATCATATTAAGATATCTTAACCTCGATTAAAAATGTTAGGATCATATGTCAGTTAGGAAAAGCCATAGACAACGTAAATTGCGAATTAACGAGCTAATTGTTCTCCTTCGCGAATTAACTTGAAACGCACAATTAGTAGCAGTAACTACACATGACTCAGTCTATATTCGTTCTTATTAAGCATCAATTGACGTTATGATGACAGTTATTATAAGAGGGATGCACCAGTCATCGATCTGAATCGACTTCTCAAATTCATTTTAATCGTTTGAATCGAAGTCTTGTTCTTGGAAATCGCTCGCTGCGAGTGTATATAATTTCACTATATAGACAAAGATACAGAAATATGAGTAAATATTTGATAGGGGATAACAACTATGAGGAAATTAAAATACTTCTGTGCTATAATATTTCTCAATGCGTGTATCATATATACTATCTAAGCATGGAAATATTTTTACGGGATTGCCAAAGGATATGTACAACACAAGGTATCTTTGATCAGTGAAACTTTTAAAGAATGAGTTTATTAATTTTAAAAATATGATCCTATTTATATAGTGCCACTTTGTACCCTAATCTTTTACTTATTCTTTTATAATATATATAAGAAATTAATTTTTACTTTAATAAGTGCTTATAATAAAAGTTGAATATAAGACTGAAATTATTATAATGACTTGTCTTACGGAAATAATATTTAGCAGTAAAATATATTCCCCCCTCCGCTCCGTAACCGTCTTGATCAATTGATCACGTTATTACATCGCCGACGTAACGGATTCGTGTAAAAACAAATATAAATAAAAATGTTTCTGTCAACAGTTTAAATTGCCACTAAAATACTTCATTTATGACGTACATTTGTGTGGACAAAAATGTTTATTATAGTGAGAAATTTTTATTTGTTCATACATTGTTCTATTCAATTCTAGTAGTATTTAAACAACATATTTGATGAATATGCTATTATTCAATGTTTAAAACTTAGAAATTAGGCATTTCAAAGCAAAATAATAATTTTAATATGAATTTTGTTAATGATAAAATTGATATTTTATGATATGATTCAATGAAATCAGAAGTAATGGCAAATTGATTAACAATAGTATTGATATATAAGTGAATACTTTAATTAAAATGATTGTTTAGTTAAATATATTTATTTTCTCTCCTAAAAGAGAAGCACACATTAATGTGCTTGTACATAAAATTTTATTTGTATTTTAATACACATTTTGTCATTTTAATCACAGCACATAATTTCTGAAAATTTCTTTATATGAAGTGATTAGTGGCTACTAATATTGGAAAACTATGAATACTAAATATAACATTGTATAACTCTAATACTTTTGACTATCATTTTAAATATGTCAAAATCATGTTTCATTCATATTATCTCTGTTTTCATTGGCTTTCAATTTTTGCTTTTGTTTTATACTGTAATCTGACAAAGCAGCCTTAATTGCATCTTCTGCAAGCACTATAATATATAAAAGGAAAAAGTTACATAATGAAATTACTTTAGTTAATATTAAATATAGTTAGCTAACTGTTAAATCTTTCATCAAAATAGATACACCAAATTTCTTACTCTTAGAACTAAATAATTATTTTTTCCTGATACAATTTTTAAAATAATCTTTAAGATATTTCCATTCATACTCCATAGCTTTTAATTTATGAAAGATATTTAAATAATAAATTTCACTTACTTGAACAGTGTAGCTTGACAGGTGGTAAGCATAATTCTTTAGCAATGTCAGTATTCTTGAGAGCCAATGCTTCATCAACCTTTAATATAAATAAATTCATTATATTTTTTTAATAAATAAGTAATAATGTATAAAGATACAATATGACTTACAGTTTTTCCTTTAACCCACTCTGTAGCTAAGGAACTTGAAGCAATAGCAGATCCACAACCAAATGTTTTAAATTTAGCATCAATAATCTTTCCTTTATCATCAACTTTAATTTGTAGTTTCATTACATCTCCACAAGCTGGTGCTCCTACAATCCCTTTTGTCAAATAATTGCGATAGAAAAGGTACAAAAAAATTGAAAAATATAATTGTATAAATTTATTTAAAAAAAAAAGATTGTCATTGATTTGACAATGCATAAAGATAACTTACGAACGAATAAAAAATTGATATGAAATGTTTATCATATTTACAAAAAATTATCCTTAAAGTATAATTGTATCAAGGTTATATATGAAGGTTAAACTTTTTATGTATATATTCTAATAATAGATACAATATTGATTGCTAAAAGAAACGTAATACATCCGTCAAAACTGTCTACAACCAATGCATGAAGTCAAAGCGAAAAATACTTACATTTGGGTGATATGATACAGCTGGAGCACTTCGATATATTAATTTCGAAGTTTTATTGAGCCCAGAAGGCAACGATCGTAGCAAAGACATTGTACTTATTTTTAAGTTAACATTGAATAACTGCTACAATACCCGTCACTTTGTACGGCATTCTACTGAAACAATCGATATTACCTTGAAGTATATACAAGTTAAGATGTTGGTACTGTTGGTAAAATGCGGATCTGGTAGCCCTGCTTCAACCTCGGAACAGATAATAACAAGAAAGGATACCGCATTATTTTTTTTACCTTTAATCAAAACATTAAATTTTTTCAATTAATATTATTTTTTAATAATAATTAATATTATATAATATTTTTGACTAGACAATTTTAAATATTATAAGAATCATTGAAATTTGCTTACATGTAAAATAAATATTATATTCTAAATATATGTTTATGTTTTAAATAATATTTCAAGAAATATTATATTAAATAAAAAATTATCTACAAAACATGAATTGCTGAAGTACTTTAAATATATTCCTAGTATTATCTTAAAAGAGTTGACAAGATAGAATGTTCGCGAAAAGCACATTATATAACTACAATTATAGCATAAAACAATTTGCAAAACTATTATTCTATAACACGATGACAAATGTCTTATGAAAATTTTGAATTTTTGAATGTGTTCAGATAATTTAAAAATCTACACTGATTGGGCCCAAGAATGGACATCTTTAAAACAGCTTCAAAATAATAAATATCTGGATGTTCACGAAATAGTACGTGGACCATTTTCCTCGCCAAGATTAATAAAAACACGACCAATTATCGTGTTTTCAACATGTCAACAACAAACAAGAAAAGTAAAAGATTATTGTAATGTACGTCGAGGTATTCCTGATACTTGGAACGAGTATTTAGTCTTTAAGAAATTCTGTAATAGTACGGAGGCGGGCATTTTTCGAAGAAATTTGATACCTTCCAGTATCAGATATTTCGCCACAGAGGGGTTATGGAACAATACAGGTTTACCTTTCATACAAGGAATTCCTGATCCATGGAAAAGTACGTCTCTTAAATATTCACAACCGCGATTTCCTCGCGCCAAAATATTTTATCCTAAACGAACTGCATACATCTATGATGGAGACGATGAGGCAGAAATAGAATGCAATGAACAGTGTCAATCTAATAAAGATCATATTAACAATAAAAAAGATTCTTCGCGAGAAGGACACAGTAAGTCAAATTACTCACTAACCAAGAGAGGAGTATTTCAAACTTTCGAAGACAATTCAAAAGGAATTAAAAAGACAGGTACAAAATGCATTAATCATTTATCTTTTGATAAAAAGTCAAAATTAATATCTAGTCAAAAAAAACATAGAAAAAATAAGAATAATCTTTGTACTCAGGGTGAATTAAAGAAGACTATTTTGAATGATCAAGAAATTATTTTTAATAAATGTGTTAGAAATTATACTAGCAATAAATGTATACACCAGAAAAATAATCAATCAAATGATAAAAAGCACTTTTTGTCAAAAATACGTACAAATAGTGGAAAAATTAAAACAAACAGTAACAAAAAAGTTCAAAACATTTCAATAGCTGGACAAACTAATATAGCACAAATAAATACACCATCTTCTAAAAATCATCCCAATGTAAATACTCGAATGTTTCTTAATAATATTTGTTGCAATTGTATATTAAAAAATTATATAATTTCGAGTATGAAATATTTTCCCGATTGCGCGAGTTCAGTGAAAGATGTAAAATTATTAAATCGCGTATTGTGTCAAGATTGTGAAAATATTTATTATAAAAATGGACCACGAGAATTAATTCTCAAAGAGAAAACGTTAGAATTTTGCACACCAGATCCAGGAAAATATACAATGCAGAAAAAAATGTATGATTGGACGAAATTGAAGCTATGTGCTTGCATGAAAAGAGTGAAAAAACAATTCGAGGAACGATACAATCTGGGTCACTGTATGAAAACGAGGAACTCGATTGCCTCTAAACAAGAATTAAAATTAATGTGTTATCATTGTAATAGTCCATATCTGAAAGTTGTGAATATCGATGCCAACACTTCAAGTCGGAAAACGTATTCACGTATCGGTAAAAAAACTTCTAGCAAGTTGAAAACCGAACAAAATAAAAACCGTCATGTTATAAAACGTGCAATTAAGGAAAGACAAAGGAATTTCATACGAAGTTCTACGAAACGTTGTTATACGTGTATTGGAAACAAAAAGCACATTTCCAAGCGGGACCTTGAAATGGATTCGATGACTGCTAAACGGAAGAATGATGTGATAAAAAAGTATGATTACGAATTCTTGCAGAAAAATAATTGCAGTAAAATGATAAAAAGAGATACTCAAGAAATTAAGGCCGATGAAGAAATAGAGGAGAAAATTCGAAATTATACTCAGGTATTTGACACAGCTGATGAAAAAGTGATTCAAGTAATAGAAATGTCAAAGAATCTTTCCCAATGTAATCGATTATGTATCGATAATATAGAAAAAAAGACAGGGTGCGAGATAGAAGCATCAAATGATTATTGCTGTAATATTATGCAAAACAACAAAGAGAAAAACAAAGAAAATAACATTATGTTTATCAATAATAAAGGAATTGAAGCTGCACAATTTCAACATTCGAAATCTGATAAAACTTTGTGGTACGCCGTATCAGATAGTGGAGAATATGCGGACGTATCCGATAACGTTACAAATGTCGGTTTTAATGTCATGGCCCAAGATAGATTGTCAGTGACTTCAATAACTTTTATCCGACGGTTGAATAATTCGATTCCAATAAGAAGACTGTATCACAGTAAAGCGGCACGGAAATCTCGTTATATTTGTCGTAAACCATCAGTACAAATCCCATTAGATTTCAAGCAGGCTTTAGATGTTGAAAACAGAACTGTGTGTAAATATCAAAATAATTAACCGAAGTTGTGTAATAGCGTTTCTTGTTTTATGGTCGGTAAAAAATCCTAGCAAGGAGTGTCATGATTAAAATAATTAAATGACGTAAGAAAAATAAAATGCAAGCACTGAAATGCACGATATACGACAAAATAGATAAAAATGTGGCTATAAAAAATACGTAACATCGCTTTAAAAATTAACTTAGGGATAATATGATAAAGTTAATAACAGGTAATTGAGAAAGGCGATTATCTGTTTAGTTCGTTGACTACAAAGGAAGAGTTCTACAAGTTACTGACGTCTCGTAGTTAACAAATAGTTAAATTTTTTACTGACTGGCATAATACTGACTATTCAATATTTGTGATTTCTAATTTAATTATAAATGAAATAATTTATTCTGTTTGATATTAATTAGATTAAGATTATTGATCGAATAGTGCTTAGAAAAATTAACAGAATTAACTATTAATTATTGATTATAATTTCATCAATATTAAATTATATTTAACAGATGATTAAAAAAAAAGAAATACTTTCAAAAAAATTGTTTGTACGTAAAATACATATGTATAAGATTGTCAATAGCATGAGTATTGAGGAAGGGGTTGCATTCCTTCTACTCGAGTATCCCTCGATATCATTCGGCGAAATAGAAAAATACTCAGATAATTCTGGATAGGATCAATATATAAGATAAGGAAAATACTTTAAACAAATTTTTTCTCCATCAAACTGTGTATCAATCTAAGAAAGTGAGAGAGGTTTTTAGGTATTGTTAAGCAAAAAATATAATTTGCCATTAAATGCTTACAAATGTTTACAAAAAGTATAATGGATTTAAAACCTTAAAATTAAAACCATAAAACTAGAAGAAAAGCAAGTATTTTATAAGTAGTAAATTTGATTAAATTTTATAACGTTGATTCTCCAAAATTATGCTTAAAAGCACAATAAATAAAGATTTAAATATTAATTGGAAATGTATTCTTAATATTTTATCCTCATTGTATTAAAGAAATATTTATTATAATTTTAGACATTTTATGAAAATAAGTTTCTAAAAATTTTAATGCTTCATAATGATACATATAAAGATATCTTTATTATTTCAAAGGTATGTTACATGTACAATGTAAGCTTTTAAAACATTATCAACATATCTTAACCTAATACTAAAGTTCAATGTCTTAACATAACGATGTTAGATTACGACTTGAAAGAACAAACAACTATTTCAAGGATAATAGGACACATTTAAAGTAGTAATTAGGAAGATATATGATAAATCAATTTTAAGAAACGTTTTAGACATTTTATTATGTAAAGACTGATTAGTTTGTGCAATGCTAAGTAATAAAATTTCATACGATATTAAGAATTAATCAATTACAAATAGGTAGTAAAAGTAATAAACATTCAAAACATATATTATTAATAATAATAGTAAAGCATCGTATAAATTAAATAAACTTAAAGTATAAATTTGAGACATTTTCTATTAGATTTTTTCTTTATATATAATTATTTTTACTGTTCGCTTACTATCCCGTTCATTAAAATATATTGAACTATCTATATTTAAAAAATCAATAGAAAAATTGTAACTAAGAAAATAGATTCACAAGTTTATGCATATAAATTAGCTGTTATTACGAACCTTAAATATTTAAGTAAAAGATGAAAACCCATTTTCACAATGCAAGCAACTGAATTCTGCAATTGGTCCATTCTCTTAATTGGCTTTCACCGCCATCTATCAACTGGAATACGAATTACTTTGTATTGTGTTCCTTTTATATATTACGGCTGTCATTATTTATTAGCGTGATGTTAAGAGCAACAAGAAGATATTTAATGTTACAGTGAGTGCTTTTAAAATGCATTCTCACCGATATAAAAGCTATTTTTGTTCTGTGATGTCATTATTTGACGATATGGTTTAACAGTATAGTTCCCTAGTCATATTTTTTAATTGTAAATAACCTTATCTTTATTAAATATTCCGTAATATGGCAAAAACTAAAACAATCAGTAAAGGTTGCCCCAAATGTGAACAGCAGGTAATTTTTATATTTAATCATTTTATATATATAGATGTATTAATTTTATTTTTAATATTTTGTAACATAGTAATTACATTCAATTTTTTTGAATGAGCTTGGGAATATTCGATAAAAGAAGCAATATAATCATGCTTGTGAAATATAATTTTTACTGTTATTATTAATATATGCATAATATTTAAATTAAATATAATTGATTATTTCATTATATTTGAATGTAAATTTGAGTAACCATTTTTAATAAATATGCATGAAAATATAAAATTTTGATTTTGACTATAAACAGGAAATATATTTATTCAATTATGCATACAATATATAGCTAATTTGTATTTTGTTATGTTAATGTTATACTTTGTTATATTAAGGTACCTGTAGCCTGCAAAGCATGTCCATGTGGTCATTCATTTTTTAATGCAAGGCGAAATTCAATAAAAAGTCCTCCTAGTCCTGATAATGGGGTAATGAAAACAAGACGAACCAACCGAATCAAACGTGAAAAACCAAACTATTATGATGCTTTAGAATATGATAAACAGTCAAAAAAGAGTGCTAAAGTAAGGTATTAGTTTAAAAAAAATATATATATACATATATATGTATTAGTGTGATTAAATTCTATATAAATTTTTAATTATTATAGATCAGAAAAGCAACTGATGCTGCTAGTGATATAGACTGTAGGCAATTAAACAAGAAGAAGAAACGAAAAGGAAAAGGTAAAGGAAAAAGTGGAAGTAATAATGGAATAGGAGATGATGATGATGAAATGGAAGGAATCAATGGTTTGTCACCAGAGAAACAGCTCACATGCTCATTGATACTGCAAGAATTAAATAACAAAATGAGAGTTGTAGCTTGGAAACCAACATAATTTTTTTCTGTTGTGACATGACTTACCATAAGAAATATTAGCGTTCATTTCTAATAGAACATAATTATTTTATATAGATACTGAACCGTGTTTGAAATGCTATCTATTCATTGCATTATGAAAAATTAAAATAGTATTATATAATGTTATGCGTGAATTAGTAGCATTAATTTATACAAATTATATATAATTTTTTGAAAAGAAATATATATATATAAAGTAGACTGTTTTTGATTGCAAAAATTATATGTAATTTGTGATAAAGAATTTATACTTTATTTTTTATGATCATTTTAAAATTTTTAAAGATTTTGGAGCATTAATTTGTATAGTGGATTATCTTCCAAAATAGAAAAATTAAGACTACATAAGTGAAAAGAATACAATTTTTATTAAAGATCACGGTATTTAATTACATCTGTTTGTATGAAAAATATGTATTTCCTACTAAGATTGTTTCTTTCATCGCAGGACCTGCCGCAATTCTTCATTTTCTACAAATAATCATAATGTAACATGTAAATATAATGTATATAGTGTCCATGTAATATATAAGGCAAATTACAACTGTGAACCAGTTTTTTTTTAAAAGCAGTTTTTTATATTGTATATATATGTATATGTATAAGAATGTTTGTCCTATATTATTCCTTTTTACTTTGAATGTAAACGTGTAAATGAAAATGTCATTTACCAATAAAACAAGAAAGAGATGTGCATTTATAAAAACTTATGAAAATTACCCTTACCTGCCGCGAACGAGGTATTTTATGTAAACTTTTCGAATACACTGAACCAAGCAATACATCATAGTAGAATAATTGTAGCGACAAATGTTGTGATTTATTAGATTTCTATTACACATTCAATCACATTCGCAAAATATCTTTATTCTTTTGCAATCGCCTCTCTTTGACAGTTACTGTTCTCGTTATTAACAGTCATCTTCGATGATTCCGATACTTCGTTAAAAACCAGGAGTAGAGGTAGACCTCCCATGACCATGCACGTGCCCATGCATAGAAAACATACGGAGTAACTTCCGGTTACATCACGCAGATAACCTGAAATCACATTTGAATATTAATACTATAGATATTAGCTTTTTAAATACATAAAGCAATACCTCGGTAGCTATCATGCAGAATTGACCTTCAAGCTTATCAATTTAAATGCAATTAATATATAAAGCATTTTAAATGTTATAAATTAAGAGATAATTTCGTACCTGCTAAAGGTGGAATAGAAATTGCTCCGACGCTCTGGAACATCCTAACAAGACCATAAGTAGAGGATATTTTATCAGTTCCATATTGGTCTGCGAGAAGGACGGGAACCAAAAGAAACCAACAACCCAAGCATAATCCGTACATGCCTACGGAACATGCTAGTACGTAGAAAGAATGGGCCATTGGAATTGCTAGTACTGCTACACCAGCACCCACAACGCTATTTGAGAATAAAAGAAAAAATCAAATATTTATTACAAGAAATAAAACGATAGAAGAAAGTATAAAAGCACATTTTTTTAACGTACCTTCCAATATATCCTTTCCGTCGATCAAAAAGCTTCAAATCCGAAAGCCAGCCAAGACCCAATCTTCCGCATAAATCAAGTGCAGCGGAAATGGCCACCAAGTATCCAGCTTCCGATTTCGTGTAACCAGCAGCATGAACGTACGCCGGAAGATAATAAAGCATATATGGGCTTCCGGTGGACATCAGGCTAACGGAAAAGCACATCATGATGAATTGAGGGTTCTTTAATAGAGACAAGTCGATGTATTGCGCTATCCTCTGCATCACTGTTTTCTTTTCCTCTGGCACTTGTGGTTCGTTCTGAGGAACTGGACATACCGCCGTGACCGAAGACCTTAAGGACCTTAATGACGACCTGGCCTTGTATACGCACGTGGAATCGGTGGATAGATCTTCAACACTGTGCAATATGCTCGAGCTACGTATCTTCGAAATCGGTTTCATACGAAGTCCCTCGCCCATCACGTCCTTCTCCTCGTCGCTGTCTGTCAGCTCGATTGCCACCACACTGTTCTGATGAAATAATTCGTTCAACAGATTATGTTTCGTAGTTGAGTCATTGGCGAATATTAAATCTAACTTCTGTTGTTTCGCCGTCTCTAATTCCTTTGTTGTGTTCTTGACCTTTTCCACCTTCTCTGGCATCGCTGTCTCTTCCGGCGTGTAGTTGTTCTCCAGCGGCCGATACAGGGTTGCACTCACGCACACATGAAGCATGCAACCACCGAGAAGAAGAATGGTACCGTGAAAACCAAAATTCTCCACCAGAACCTTGATCAGAAGTGGAAACACGAAACTGCCAGCCGCTGTGCCGGATACGCATATTCCGTTCGCTAAGGCGCGGTGCTTGTCGAAATATTGAGAGACGAGAATGATGCCTGGCGTTGTCGACAGACCACCACCGATACCTGAAATTGTTAAATTTATAATAAATATTATGGAAAAAATATTTAAATGTTTGTAGTTAATATAAGGTTGTTAAAATAATTTTATTGATTTTATTATTGAATTGTTCGTTCGTGTCATACTCCCATTTCTTTTCCCATACTACTAGTACAGTATCTGCATTTTCTTACGTAACCAAACGATGGAAGTTTGTAGGTTACAATATATGCATATATATATTATATCGAGACGAACGCACGCCCAAGGAACTTGATAAAATTGATTGTTAACTTCACGAACCTGTTAAAACTCCGAATGTAAAAAAGAGATGTATTAAGCTTGTGGCAAAGTAACTTATTGTAAGTCCTAAAGCACAGAACAATCCACCGACGAAAACGACCGCTCGACAACTGTATTTCTGGCACAGCATACTCGTCACTGGAGCTGTATTTGAAGTATTCACACATTAATCTTCAAAATACCAACGTAACATTCTTACATCGTCGTATTGTCGTTCCATTAAAAATTGACCAGGCTTTTAAGAAACCTGCATTCAATGCATTTCTCGTTAAAAGTACCTCAATAATTGCTTACCAAGTGCGAGACAAAGACAGGACAAGATAGCTGGTATCCAGGAAGCAACCGATGCTGTAGAATCCTTGAACGTTTCCATCACCTCAACGTATAACACCCCGTAAGATTTCATCAGGCCAGTTACCCAAAACTGAACGAAAAACGCCCCGAATACGATTACCCAACCATAACCACCGTCTAATGGAACGTATGTGATGTTCCTTAATTTTTTCGTTTCATTTTTCTTAACTTTATTCTTTTTCGTGCAAGAGCTCTTGGTCGATCGGAGTTCCCGAGATTTGGCAATCAATGGCCTGGCCGTGAGACTGGATATGGTCAGGAGATTGTCATTATCCTCGTCTTCGATCGTTTCTGGACTTTGAAGATGCGGTGGTACAATCGGCGTTGAAGTTGCTGTTGCCTGCACGGCCAAGGAGGCTGGCCTCTTAGGCGACGGTACACCGGTGCTCAAATCAAACACGGGCGCCGAATGTATCGACAACAGAGAGCCCAGCTGGTTCTGTTGATTCATATTCTCGTCGATGACAGTCGTCCCGACCATCTCCTGCGACGCTGTCGCACAGGCGACAGCATCACGCTCAACCGAATCCTGCAGGCTCCATTCTCGTGGTAACGACATATTTCTGTGGCTTCGTTCACGCGAGGAGGACCGTAATACATTGGAGTTACGTTACTTTTCCTCTCCTTCGTTTGCGTCAATTGGCAAACTCTCTTCTTTCACCTACTGTATCGTCTCCTTTTATTGTCTTCCTCTTATCGGAGAAAAAACCAGACCTTCACGTTCCTAATTCTCTATATCCCTATGTATTCTTCTCTATGTTTCCAGGTCTTTTTCTATATTTTCCTCTATTTGTCTTATCAGATTTCAACCCCCGTTCTCTAGTCTCAACCCTACTCTTCGTTCGAATCTATATGTTTCAGCTTCTTGCTCGTGGATACGTACACCTTACTAGGATCGGTCCACCCCGATTTAACTTCCCCGTTATCTATCTTCTATCCACTTCCTTCTCACCATTTACACGTTCTCCAAGGTTCTCCTGACTCGATCTAAGGGTGCTTGGTAAATAACCGAAATGAAAAGGGTGCGCACGCAGAGGAGGTCGCCACCGAGTGGAAACTTACGGGATCGATATGCGGCCACAACTGACGCACTGGCATCTCGCGGTGTAGTCACCACCACGTGGCTTAGAAACAATGCAGGGCCTATCGGTTTATTGTCCTGTCGACCGACCCACTTTTCCCTCCGCCTTGGCCTCTAGCTTATTACCGCTTCTACCCTGTAATCCCTGCACCGGGACGATCTTCGATCGGCCTGAATCGCATATTCCTTCCCTTTTCGCAGCTTCAACTATTCCATCATCTTAAAAACGATGGAGGTCGCAAAATTAATTGCCGGAGGAACATGATTCGAAGGAGACGTCTCGAGTTGATACGATTGTTAGGAAGTCCTTAATATTCCTGGCAACGATTCCCTTCGGTCTCTCGTATCGATCAGCTTACTGAAAAGAAAGATGATTCAATTAAACTTAAATTATTTGTATGCACCTTATGTCGTTTATAGGACTCATACAACTTCTGTCGTTAAATACGAGTCCATTTTCAACAGATTAACTCTATGAGTCGAAGAGAAATTCCAAGATTGGAATAGGGAGACAGAATATTATGAAAATGATTAGAAAATAATTGAAAGATCGCCTGAAAAATAAGAAAACATCCTAATATTGCAATAGTGGGGACGAAGTCTGTGCGCAGCATCCAAACGGATCAATGAATCTCCAACTTCTGTCTCTCAGATCCAACTTCGCGCTCGACGTTAACACAGGGTCTGTGCATCGTGCACCCAGATAAGGGCGTGAACGCTTTTCAAATGAATCGTCAGCCAATCTGTACGTCCCTGAAAATTACCTGAACAATCAGTGATTGTAGACTAATTCGGTATGTTTAAATTTCATCTTTGAGAAAACGAATTTTATGATAAATTGCTTCAGAAAAATAACATGTAGTCGAAATTTATATATTTGTACGTTCTTTTCCCTATATTATTAAATTTGTTTTAATAGATCAGTACGATTAATAATGACGGTTATACGATTACAATTACTAAGGACTAAAAGTTTCATTTATTTAATAAAAATATAATTTTTATGAATCATTACATATAGTTTTTCAGTTATCCGAAGAACCAATTTTGAAATTCATTTTTTTGCTTTTTTCTTGTAGATCGAATTTCGTAATAATGAAATACAAGGGTGTCGCATTGTTCATTTCTCTGATTGTTCTGAGCGATGAGGGGTACAATAGACTCGTCGCGAGCCAATTCAACAATCCCACCTTCTTTATGATTGGCGGCGTGTTCTCCAATAAAAAAAGCAAAGATTATTTCAAACTAACGCTGAACGTAAGTAATACATAAGAAAGGCATTTCTGAAATCAAATCCTTCTAATCAAATCTAAAATAAGTGTTACACTGTTCAAAAGATAGTTTGTCCTATTTAAGAAATTTCTTAAAACCTAGTATAATTTAATCAAATCTCTTGATTTTTATAATGGAATCTTTTCTTCGTAATCTAAAGAAGTCAAGTTCAAATTCAAATCGATATTCACTGTCTCTATCCAGTAAAACATTCGACATTAGTCACGAAGTAGTAAATGGATAGTACCCTCCGTTCTTCAGGGAAGCGTTTAGTCATCGTTAATTCCGGGTTTTCTCTGGTTTTCCAGAATTTGAACTTCAACTCTAAATATGTCAATAAAGGAGTGACTTATAAGCACACGGTAATTGAAATGGACTCCAATCCAATTAAGACAGCTTTGAGTGTCTGCAAGTCTTTGATAGCAGAACAAGTATACGCGGTGGTAGTGTCTCATCCTCTTACGGGAGACCTATCTCCAGCCGCTGTTTCTTATACAAGTGGATTTTATCATATACCCGTTATAGGTATATCTTCGAGGGACTCAGCGTTTTCTGATAAAGTGAGTGGGTCAGTAGATTCAATGAAAATCTCTACTTTACGTGATGATCATTAAAAATCAATTTGTTCAATATAATAAAATATATAAAAGCTTTTCTTTTAATATTATACAACATACAGATTATAATTATTAAAATATAGTGATGTAACGTAATCTTTTCCTTAGAACAAAAAAAAAATGTAATTTGTCTCCATATCGTAAACATTTAAATTGCGGTTCATCGGAAGATTTTGTTCAAATAAGATTTCTCGTAATACTTATTACGTCAGTATCACATTATCGGTATTATTACGTGATACGTATTACACGTGTGGTACGGTAATACAAGTGTACTATATTCGAGGCTAGTTATAAATTTGATGTATACGATGAAATTGAGAAAAATTTGTAATATTTTATACTCTTAGAACATTCACGTCTCCTTCCTAAGGACGGTGCCACCATACTCGCATCAGGCAGACGTATGGGTTGAACTATTGAAACACTTTAACTATATGAAGGTGATTTTTATCCATAGTTCGGATACAGATGGTCGAGCTCTGCTTGGAAGATTTCAAACAACTTCCCAGAACCTGGAAGACGATGTGGAAATTAAGGTTCAGGTAAGCCATTTTATCAACCTGTCATATGTAAAAAGTAAATATCAAAAAGTAACATCATTATCCGTGAAATGGTCTACAACAGGTAGAGTCTGTGATCGAATTTGAACCTGGTCTAGAAAGCTTCACGCAACAACTAATGGACATGAAAACTGCACAAGCCAGAGTTTGTCTCTTATATGCCTCGTAAGTATTAATTACTGCAATTTAAATTTGACTTGGTATGACCTGTATCGTGTTATAACAATAGACTACTCAGAGTAGTTAATACGTATACATATAATGTACATATTGAAACACAGACCTTCAACAGCGGATATGATATGTTTTTTTCCTTACTCGTGAACGAAAGAAAATTCAATAAAAGCTTGTTTATTTCTCAACAGGAAAACAGATGCAAGCGTCATCTTTCAAGACGCAGCTGCGTTGAATATGACCGGTTCAGGATATGTTTGGATCGTGACGGAACAAGCCTTAGATGCGCCAAACGCACCGGGAGGTCTTCTTGGCTTGAAATTAATTAACGCTGAGAAAGAGGAGGCTCACATCGAGGATAGCCTGTCAGTTCCTTTCTAATCGTATATTGACATCCACGCATGTATGTTGCGTCCGTAGCTTCGTGTCTTACTACCGAAAAGAACCATAAAAAGAACAGAAGAACACTCAATACCTACGCATGAGAAGACTTAGAATGATTGAATGGACACCTTATAATACTTCACAAGAAAAAAAAAAAATTTTCCTCACTTCTCATTTAAACTTCTCTGACGTAGAATTATATAATTGCATGCAAAGCACAGGAACATGTATTCTGACTTCACGGCAATGTACAACTGATTTCAGATCACTGGATCACATACTCTCTTAGCACACCCTCCAATCTGTCCGATGGATATTTCGTATCGTTCAGCGAAACGCTGAACGTGCTTTGAACGTTTAGGATATGTGTGTACGAGTAACGTTGCTCTGTCTCTGTGTGAAACAAGCTATTAACTATTTCAGATAAATATACATAGTAGTTAATGAACGTTCCACGGAAAAACAGGTGGCTTTGACGAAAATGGTAGACTCGAACGTTCGCGAGAACGTTCATTATTTCATAATTGTTCATATAAGAAGAATTAATATTTCGTATTTCCTTATCTTGCATTTTGTAAATCTTATGCACAGGCATGATTTTATAGTCTAACAGAATGTACATTTCAGGAAAGTGCTTGTATCCGCTTTACGGGAGATGAACAAAACGAAAGCGATTACAGAGGCACCAAAGAATTGTGAAGACTCTGGCTCCATATGGGAAACCGGCAAGAGCTTGTTCGAGTACTGTTTTCTTCTACTCTGATCTTACTTATTTATAAGTAAGACGTCGGTAGCATTTTGCTATTGCAAATTTCATTCTGCTTTAGATTCATCCGCAAAGAGGTGTTATCAGATGGTGCTACTGGCAAAGTAGCGTTCGATGACAATGGGGACCGTATCTTCGCGGAATATGACATCATTAACATTCAGGAAAACGGTGAACGAGTCTCTGTTGGACAGTACTTTTATCCAGCTGTAAGTAAAAGTAAAAGAATGGATGGGATTAAATGTTAAAACAAAAAGTAATAGATGAACAAAATTTTCACTTTGCAGTTTTATACAATTTTTAATGATTTTTCTTTAAATACTTAATTAGATTTTTATTTTTTCATAAAATGGTATCCTATTATCTTACGCAAATATTTTGAATATTTTGTATTATATGGAATACTTTATAATTAATTCCATATATTATATTTAATATTCTATACATTAAAATTTAAACATTTTATAAAAATGTTTTTTCTCTTTCCGACTATTGATATTCGTGTTTTACCACAGAACGGTACCAAAATGACATTAAGCGTCAACGAGTCGAGCATAATATGGCCCGGCCGATTACAAAATAAGCCCGAGGGTTTCATGATTCCTACGCACTTAAAAGTACTCACTATCGAGGAAAAGCCATTTGTGTACGTTCGGGAAATCGCATTCAGTGAATCTTGTCTGCCAGAAGAAATTCCATGCCCTCATTTTAATGTTACCGATCATGAAAGTAAGAATTTACTTAATGTACAATATACGTATAGTATACCTTCCTCGTTACTGATGTTAAACGTTTAAGTATTTACAGCTACGAAAACATTTTGTTGCAAAGGATACTGTATGGATTTATTGAAAGAACTATCGAAAACGATTAACTTCACCTATAGTTTGTCCCTGTCCCCTGATGGACAATTTGGCAGCTATGTGGTCAAGGACAGTTCAGGTGCGACAAGTAGAACCATTATAGAACAATTGTAGATGCAAGGCCTCGTTTCAGTGAAAACGCATCGTGATATGAAACAGATAATTTAATACACGAATATGTTGCTGTAGGGGGTAAAAAAGAATGGACAGGACTTATAGGAGAACTGGTGAACGAAAGAGCAGATATGATCGTTGCCCCTTTGACAATTAATCCGGAACGCGCTGAGTTTATCGAATTCAGTAAACCCTTTAAATATCAAGGCATCACCATTCTTGAGAAAAAGGTAATCATAGTTGATAGATAATAGTTAACAAATAATTTCAATTATCAGTAATTAGAAGGAAGAAAGTCAGAATTGAAATTTAAAATTTATGAAATGCAGAATTTTCGTTTTTAGCCATCAAGATCATCAACCTTGGTGTCGTTTTTGCAACCATTCAGCAACACGTTATGGATACTGGTGATGGTGTCGGTGCACGTAGTGGCTCTAGTTCTGTACCTCCTCGACCGGTTCTCACCTTTCGGGAGGTTCAAACTAGCAAACACTGACGGTACCGAAGAGGACGCCTTGAATCTGTCTAGCGCCATCTGGTTCGCTTGGGGAGTTCTCTTGAATAGTGGAATCGGAGAAGGTTCGATATTTTTTCACGAGACAATAAAAATCTGAGAACAGATAAAAAAAGGAATTATATTTCATAATAAAATCATTATTTCAAAACGTACGTAATCATCGATATTATTAACATTGAACTTTTAAAGCATGTATATATAACAACGACTATAACATTCCTTTGCTAACCGAGGTGCGATTAAATCGATTACTCGTGGACGAAAATAGAACAGCATAGAAATACTTCTACCTCTATGAATGAACGTTTCAACAGCATTTTATAAATATTGTCAGTAAACAGAATTATTTAACAGGTACTCCACGAAGTTTTTCTGCTCGAGTTTTGGGCATGGTATGGGCAGGATTTGCGATGATTATTGTCGCTTCTTACACTGCCAACTTAGCTGCATTCCTTGTGTTGGAACGGCCAAAAACTAAATTGACTGGCATCAACGATGCTCGAGTAAGAATACTATTAATAAAAATCGAAAATGATTTTATCTTTTGCAATCAAATTTTGACGCTTGAAAAACGTTAGAAATAAGGAAAAGTATTTTATAGTTTGTTATAGCAACAATGGCCCATAATATTTATGCTGCACTTACGTGTACATCTTTCCAAAGTTTATAATTTTTAATATTTCGTTGCATTGCTTTTATAGCATTCTATATATACATATCGATCATCGCTGTTGCTACCTTTTCTACTGCCGTTCATATTGATTTTCGTCAAGGTAGCAAAGACGTTATAGCACCTGCAAAATATCCATGTATATACTTGCAGCTCAGGAACACCATGGAAAACCTTACGTGCGCCACGGTGAAAGGTTCCGCTGTTGACATGTATTTCCGTCGACAGGTCGAATTATCCAATATGTATCGTACAATGGAAGCAAATAATTATAATACTGCCGAAGAAGCTATTAGAGATATTAAAATTGGGTAAAAATATAGAGAATAAAATTTTAGTTATTACGAGGGTTGAGAAATTATTTTAAAATAGAAATTAATTCTAAGAATGATACATTTACAGGAAACTCATGGCTTTCATCTGGGATAGCTCTCGATTAGAATTCGAAGCTGCTCAGGATTGTGAATTGGTAACCGCTGGAGAATTATTTGGTCGTTCTGGTTATGGAATTGGTTTGCAAAAGGGCTCCTTGTGGGCAGATGCTGTAACTCTAGCTATCTTGGATTTTCATGAAAGTAAGAATTAATGGAAATTATTATTTAAAATAATTATAAATTAATAACAATTTTTATTAAACGCTTACCATATCCATAGATAGTTTTATGGAAAGTCTCGACGACCACTGGATTCTTCAAAGTAACAGGCAGCAGTGTGAACAACTTGAAAAAGCTCCGAATACTTTGGGCTTGAAAAATATGGCTGGAGTATTCATAGTGGTCGGTGTTGGAATTATCGGTGGCATCGGATTAATTATTATCGAAGTAGTATACAAGAAACATCAAATTCGCAAACAAAAGAAGATGGAATTGGCGCGACACGCGGCCGATAAGTGGAGAGGTGCGATTGAGGTAAAAAAAAAGTAATCATAATTCCTCGACTAGAATCGAACTTCTTTCGTTTGATATCTTCCGTTGTCCTTTCTTCAGAATTCTGTGTTTATCAGTAAATTGCAAGCAGCCAGGACAAAGTAGGGGAACAACGCAGGCAATTCTAACAGATCTCGTAATAATACAAAAAAAAAAAAGAAAGACGATTATCGAACGAACACACATATTATAGCTCAAAGCACAAAAATTCGTACGCTTTGCAAGCTTTAGTAATGAACAAACTCATTTAGCAAAGGCAGTGAGATTGGATTTTGCGCTTTTAATAAAATTGGTGTAAAATACGAGAAGAGAAAAATAATTATCATCGATCGTATTTTACACTAAAACTGCTTCTTTGATATTGCATCAAGTAATGTTGGCTTTTTTTATATTGATAATGATATTCTTTACATACTGTTAACTATTTTCTCGTAAAGGTGTACATGGAAAGTGAACTTCTAATTTTTAACATGCTATTGCGAAGAGGTTAAGCTACCGTTAGTAGTGCAAAATGTCATTTTATTTATATTTTCAAGACAATTTGTATATTGCAATACAAATCTAATAGTATTAGTCAAAGCAATGAAATGAATGCAAACTTTTCCTGAGATGTGGGGTATTTTATCTAATTCAGTCTTCTTTTTTCAAAATGCAGAAACGGAAAACCCTGCGAGCTTCCATAGCCGCTCAACGAAGAATTCAAAGCAATGGCCTTAACGATCCTACGACCGTGAGCTTAGCAGTCGATACGATAGCTAGGTCGAATGTGGCTCCACATAGTCCTGGCCGAGCATGGCCGGGGGATAGTGACATCCGTCAACGACCTATTTCCCGTTCAGACGATATCAGATTATCACCTGCTGCATATACAGCAAACGTCTCACACCTTATAGTGTGAAGAAACTGATTATCAATTACCTGTACACCATAAAATATTAAAATGTTATGTCATTATCTGAAAAACAATTTGTTAGATATGACACATGTATAATTGTGTTGAAAGTAATAACATTTGTTTTATACAATAAAAATCGTTACTTTAAAAATGTTTATACGGATATTTGGTATTCAGTAAATATACCTCAATTGATATATTAGTTAAAAAATTTGCAACTTACAAATACGCGATATATTTTTATTAGTATTATTAAAAATAGACGATTAATCATATCGCGTATATCTAAATGAGTTTCTTAACACAGTTTATTGTTTAAAATTTTAAACGATTAATCATAATCAAATACGTGCTGTTATACGATTTCACAATGATATACACATGTTGGTTGACTAGAGTATATATTATGCCCTATACAGTTATTTTTATTTTTACAATTGCTAAGTATCTAATAAATATTAGTTTTCTCAGAAATATGTTTTGTTGCAAAACATTTTCGTCCCGTTCATCAATTACATATTACTTATAATTCAAAGAAATAATCTATAATAAATTTTTTAATATTTTTAAATAACGTCATTTATATATCATGTAATATGTAGAGTTAATATGTAATTTCCGGTAGAAGTGTATATCAAAGCGTATAATATATTTGAATTATTTAATTTTACATTATCAGAGCTAATGAAAAATATTTACATTAAAATTAATTTCATTATCTTAGAATATAAATATAATAAAACCATTCGCCGTTAATAATGTTATTTTATAGATGACGTAGTACAAGTATCTAGTTTAGTTTGTAGGTTTCCTCTCTATATCCATTTTCTTATGTCATGACCATAGACGTAACACATGAGAACAAATTGTGTCAAGTTTCTCACCGCTGTCATTTGACGAACTTTCATTATCCACTGTATTGGATTTGTTTTCTAGGTGGTCTTTAAACGATTTAATTAATTTATAATTAAAAGGCATGGCAGATACGACAGTTGACGCTACACGCCGTTTAAATGTTAAAAAACAAACCCTGGATGATGCTTATGCAGCGCCTGCAAATTTTCTCGAAATTGACGTGATTAATCCAATCACACACGGCGTCGGCAAGAAACGGTACACTGATTATGAAGTTCGTATGAGGGTGAGTAATAAACCCCATTTCATTTTAAACTTCTTTTCATCTGTTAATAAACTTAAGTGATTATCTTTCCATTCTAAATGTCACCTTTTCTTTTACCGCTTAAATACCGCATAAGATTGCATCTTTTCATTGAAGTATATAAACTTTATACATTTCTGTGTATACAATTTAATTAGTTAGTAGTCATTTAGTGAATTAATAAGCTTTTTTATAATTCATTATTATTTCCGTAAAAAAAACTTAATATTACAATTAGTACCTACTTATAGTTACAATATTGCTAAGTCTTCTTTATTAATTTAGGAAAGTTCGAAACGAAAGTACGAAAATAAGGCCTAAATACTTTTAATGTATTTGTTCTATATTTATTTTTAAATAAGAAAAATAACATTAATGGTAATAATAATGAAAGTAATAATTTTATTATGGACATTAACCAAATGTATTATGGGCTGTGTCTGTTATCTTTTATTGATAAAAATGGGTAGATACAAAAATGTATATACTACTGAAGCCATTTATAGGTCTTAGATTAATATGTATGAATCATCTTCAAAAATTTAAACAATATTGCTAATACATAAACTAATTCTTTGTAGTATTTATATTTAACTTATTGTAAAACATTATTATGTCTTATACTTTAATTATCTTAAAATGAAATTAATTATAAATTTTATATTACATTTTGTATTACACCTGAAATATCAAATAAATAGATTATATAAAATAAAAATCTTTGTTTCAGACAAATCTTCCAGTTTTTAAAGTAAAAGATTCTACAGTAAGAAGAAGATATAGTGATTTTGAATGGTTAAGAACTGAATTAGAAAGAGATAGCAAGGTCAGTTAATAAAATATGTGTAGAAAATAAAAATTAACGTATTTTATTTTATACTAAAAAGCTTGTAAATTAAAATTAGTGAAAAAGAGTACTTACTATAAACTTACAGATAGTTGTGCCTCCATTACCAGGGAAGGCTTGGAAACGTCAAATGCCTTTCCGAGGAGATGATGGTATTTTTGAAGAAGATTTTATTGAAGATCGAAGAAAAGGTTTAGAAGCTTTTGTTAATAAGTATGTTAAAACATTCTGTAATATATTGAATAAGTTAAATATTTCTTTTGTTCCATTTTAATATATACAAAATTTATCAAATGAAAAAATAAATAAACATGATATTTCAGAATAGCAGGACATCCATTAGCACAGAATGAACGATGTTTACATATGTTTCTGCAAGAACCTGTAATAGACAAGAACTACGTACCTGGAAAAATACGTAATACATAAGTTACAAATAAGACTTATTGCAAGTATATTTTCCTCCCCACCTTCAATATGTAAAATTATATTTGATTATTTTTAAATTTTAAATCTAAAATTTATTAAGATCCTTCTGTATTTATGCAATATTTAATCGAGCTTTTCACACTGTGATGTTGAATTAGAACTTGTTTTTGAAGATTGTTGTATTTCAAATGAATGATAAAATATTTGGAGGGATCTTATTATTAAATATCACTGTCAGTCAAGAAACAGAATTAAGAACTTTCTTCTCACTTTCTTTTTTCTTTTCTCTTAATATTGTAATTATATTGGTTGTTATATTGGTTTTGTAAAAAATTTATAAATTGACATTTATCATTTTCAGAAATTGCAGAATATTGTTGTATACAACAGTTCGATTAATATATAAATATACGAAATTTATGAATTTCAAAATATGGCTTAAAAAATAAAATACTAAGATAAAAATTATTTATTTACAAGTTTTTTGATAGAAAACATGGTAACAATTTGGTCATTTTTAATAATCTTAGTATTGCTTTTTGTACATGAATAGTATCATTGTAATAAAATAAATTAAATATATTTATCACTTTACTAGATTGTTTTCTATTGAATAACTTGTAAGTAGCATATAAGTTTATTTGTAAACAGTGCTATTGCAAATAAATGAATAAGATAAATTAATTTGAAAATGGAAGTAAGCCTTTTAATAATTGCTTATAATTTAATGTTCTCTGCATAATAAAAATTGTTAAAATTTTAAAATTTATTAAATTTAAATATTTGTTTATTAAAGATAAAAAATATATGTAATTAAGATGTTCTGAATCTCTTTGTTATGCTCTTTATTTTATTGTGTGAGTAGGATAGAGGAATAATGTTACTATTGTATTGGATATAAAAGTAAAATTAATAATTTGTATATTGTGTTTTTATATTTTCTCAATTTACTTTAGAAGCAACACTTTTTTTACATTTATAATTACCAAAGGAACTATGTACAGGGCATAGATTAAACTGTTTTATTCATTTAAGTTAAGGATTATATTGCAAGAGAAATTTCATTAAATATGTTTCATTAATCTAATATATGTACATAGGGACACATAATCACATAGAATGAAAATATTGTATATGAATATAAACAATAAGGAACGTACCAAAAATTAAGATGTAATTAATTATTATTAAGAGTTTCAATGTCTAGGTAAAAAAATTTTAATACGAATATTTACTTTAATTAAAAAATACATTCAAAATTAGATATTTTTAAACAAATTAAAAAAAGATTTATAATTTGCAACATTATTTTTTCTTGTTTATGCTGCATTCATTTTAAACATATCTACAAGAATTAATACTTAACATATACATTATTTTATTATTCTCTTTGCAGTAAAATACGTGTAATAGTTCCGTCCTTCGTTTGATCTGAAGTATAGAACCTTTGATATTTAAACAAATGTAATGTTGATAGTCTTTTATACTATGTAAGATTTTTTTTATTTAGTAGATTGGATTATATAATGTGTTTATATGTACACATCCTGTTTAGTTCTAATGAATTTTTTATTTTTGAAGTATGTTTCTATATACTTACTCACACAGTCTTGTTCTAAAACATAAAAATAAAGAATGAACCAAATGTAAAATTAGTTTTATTAAATATTTTAATAATATTTCAAAAGATACTAACCAGGAAACGTATTCTCAATAATGAGCATATCAGCTACATGTTTTGCAACTATTTTAAACAGTTGCCTATCTTTAATTCTTCGTTTCTTATAAAATGGCATTAAATGCTTTACAATCCATGGTGCTATTCTCTCTTTACATGCAGTTAAATGTTCTTCTATACAAATTGGTGAATCTGGCATCATTTCTTCATCATCATTTTCTCCAAATAATTCAATAAATTTTTCTTTAACTCTTCCATGTCTTCTATAATCCTTTAAAGATAGTTCTGTCATCTTTGCTTTTAATTTTGATACTTGATATACACGTTCAACGAACCAAATGCTGTTTATTCTACGTTTTTGTTTATTTTCTAATGTTTCACTTTCTGCTAATAATGATTTATTAGTTTCTCTAGTTTTCATCTCTTTATAGTAACTAAAACTATACTTTCCTGTACTTGTATTTGATGTCTTTATGCAATTGCTTTTAACAGAGTTAATTTTTATAACATCCTTACTTCCAGACATATTAATAGAAGTATTTGAATTATGTGGAAGAAGGGCATTAATTTCTTTATCCATATTAGCCTTAGTAACACCTGAATGTTTCTCAATTAATGTCATAAGATCGCTGCTATCATCACTATCGCAAAACATATCTTCCATGTGTTGCAAAAGTGAATCCTGTGTATTTTCATCATCATTTTGAACATTAGATCGATTTGCAATCTGAGTATTAGAATTGTCTTGTGTACAACTAAAGGTATTGCTATCTTCTCTCATTGTTTCTTCATCTACTATCATTTTATTCTTTGTTTCTTCATCTGACTCATTATTGAATTTACTATGATCTGTATCAGAAAAACTAGTAGAATGTATAGTTGGTGAAGCTGTATTGTTACAAATAGTCAATTGAGAAGATATATCATGATCTTCACATTCATCGTTTATATCATCTTTTTTGTGCTGTAGTGTTTTTTTTATGGAGGACAATTCTTCACAATTAGATGTGATACAAATACTTTGAATATTATCTGTTCTTTTTAACTCTGTCCATGAATTAATTGTTTGAACTCCAATATCTACTTTAGTTGGTGGGGTTTCTAAAAATATTATCAATTTTTTATAGGCTTTTTTTTCTGATGTGTGTGATTTTACATCTGAAATCTATAAATATCTTAATTTCAATTATTAATCAGTTTATTAGATAAACTATTTCAATAAACAAACTTACCAATTTTAACATATTTTGTCTATATAAAGTGGATTCTAAAGATGATCGAACTGCAAGCAATTCCATTTGATTTGCACACATTTTTAATTGATTACTTGGAATATCTTCATTCTTTTCTTTATAGCAAAGAATATAATTAGAGAGTAAACATTTATGAAGATATGAAAAATATACAGCACGAACCTATAATATAAATAATTTAATTAAACTAAAACAAATTAAATATTTCAGAAATTCATAAATATCTAATCATATAAACGTCAATATATGAATATCAAGCGAGATCATTAAATTTTAATACGTATAAATGATTAAATATATTTGGATTTTAATATTTCGAAATATTTATTGCATTTTTAGAAATTTGTATTATTATCTTATAGAATACTTGCCGTAGTAGTCAGTCGAAGAAATTCGTCATTTGGATCGGTGAGAATATGAAATTTATTTGCTGAAAGTGAAGGTATTGATATTGATAGGAGATTGTTAATATCCTCTAGACTAGTGTTATTATCATCAGTATCCCCTACATCAAATTCTTCTCGTTCTCGTTTTAATGTGAATGGTAAAGATATATCCATTTGATTCATCGTTATCACTTTATTTAACAACTTATCATTAAAATTCTATAAAACTATTTCAAACTTTTCACAGACAAATTCCGAAAATATTCACCACGCAATAATATCATAATCAGAATTCTTATAAATCAAATGTTCATTTATTATTTCATAAAATTAATATAATGTGTATTGTATTTTATATCAATATTAAAATGGAACAATTAAACATCATTTTTGTAGTCAAACAAAAATAACATTACTTATACCTACATATACACATTGAACTACACAATAGCGAATAGCTAGTAACCAACTTCACACATGTCAAAACAACTTTATTATGTAGTTAAAAGATCTTTGTATAATTTATGACATTCAATATTGTGTATAAAAATTTAAATAATTAATAATGGTATAAAATATATATTCTGTTAATGTGTTATTTCTATAATGGTGAATACTGTTTTGCGTTATTGTTTGCTTAATGTTATTAGTATTTGAAATCTACTAACAAGTGCAAGTCCTTCGGAACACCGATTTAGTTGAAAAATTATAGGTTTATAGATTTTGTTATGCAGTTCAAAAATATACATCATTATAGTCGCAACTACTCAATAATTTTTAAGATATTTGATTAAAATTTTACTATACAATAATTATAGATTTATTTCGAACGTTTTTCAAGTGGAGTCGTAGCCTAATGGCGCGAGTCGAAAAATCCTATGCTGAAAGGCCGGGGTTCGATTCCTGTTGATAATTCGTAGTTTCGTTTTCAATTTATTTTTTATTTTGTATTCATTTTTCGCCTATGTAAACATTGTAAATAAACAATTGTAAACAAAATTTCTTAATAAAAAAATTTATTTTTTACGCTTTCTTATGCTGGTATATATTTATTACAAAATAATAAGAATATTATGCAAGAAAAATAGATGTCCGTAGCATTATTATTTACCACTAACTAATTATTAAATTAAACATTGCATAAGAACGTTGCCTATAATTCCAACTTTTCTATAAATGTTCATGAATTAATTACAAAAACTTGGAAATTTATTAATTTTCTACCACCGAATTGATTTCTAGTATCTAGTTCGAATCAAAGTTTTACCGCCGACGATCAGCGCCATCTATGGTTTTGGATCATTTGCTCGGAAAAGTGATAGGAATATAGAATAGGCAAGGAGGTCGTCGACGAGCTGGTCACGTGGTAGACAAGGACAGCGAGGGGATAGAAAAGGATAGAATGGCTCCGGCAATGAAAAATTATTAATTACTCAATTTCTGTAATTTATTTATGAACTTTTATAATTTCATTGCAAAGCTGGAACTTCAGGCTACATTCTTATATAATATTCGTAAAGAATTTAACTCTAAATTGTTAGTTATTAATTTTTGTTTTATGGCGTCTATGATTTCGTAACGGCGACCATCACAATCTTCCGTGAAAATATTTAATACTCACTGAAACTAGAATCAAAATGTGAACAAAAGTTATATAAGAAGATTGGCAAGAACATTGTCTTTCTAATGAGTGCTTAAAGTTTCATAAATTAATTGCGTGAGGGATAGTAATTAATGAAAAACCAATGGCGTCTTCGACAATTTTCGACAACAATTCAAACACTGCGCAGAACAATTATTAATAATTAATTAATTGGGGACAAATTTCTATCGAATAATATATGTGAAAGTTCTTGAAGGATCTGGCTTTACGATGCAATTATAAAAGTTCATAAATTAATCACAGATATTGAGTAATTAGCGAATTTTCCACTGCCGATTTGATTTATTAAAATATATTCGGAGCACATAACCAGAGTTAGTAAACTGATATCAGAGCTATCTGTGTTCCTGCTGCGGAACCCGAACTTCGAGTCCAAACTCATAGATGGCTCTGATGTCAGTTTACTAACTCTGGTTATATGCTCCGAATATATTTTAATAAATCAAATCGGCAGTGGAAAATTCGCTAATTACTCAATATTTGTGATTAATTTATGAACTTTTATAATTGCATCGTAAAGCCAGATCCTTCAAGAACTTTCACATATATTATTCGATAGAAATTTGTCCCCAATTAATTAATTATTAATAATTGTTCTGCGCAGTGTTTGAATTGTTGTCGAAAATTGTCGAAGACGCCATTGGTTTTTCATTAATTACTATCCCTCACGCAATTAATTTATGAAACTTTAAGCACTCATTAGAAAGACAATGTTCTTGCCAATCTTCTTATATAACTTTTGTTCACATTTTGATTCTAGTTTCAGTGAGTATTAAATATTTTCACGGAAGATTGTGATGGTCGCCGTTACGAAATCATAGACGCCATAAAACAAAAATTAATAACTAACAATTTAGAGTTAAATTCTTTACGAATATTATATAAGAATGTAGCCTGAAGTTCCAGCTTTGCAATGAAATTATAAAAGTTCATAAATAAATTACAGAAATTGAGTAATTAATAATTTTTCATTGCCGGAGCCATTCTATCCTTTTCTATCCCCTCGCTGTCCTTGTCTACCACGTGACCAGCTCGTCGACGACCTCCTTGCCTATTCTATATTCCTATCACTTTTCCGAGCAAATGATCCAAAACCATAGATGGCGCTGATCGTCGGCGGTAAAACTTTGATTCGAACTAGATACTAGAAATCAATTCGGTGGTAGAAAATTAATAAATTTCCAAGTTTTTGTAATTAATTCATGAACATTTATAGAAAAGTTGGAATTATAGGCAACGTTCTTATGCAATGTTTAATTTAATAATTAGTTAGTGGTAAATAATAATGCTACGGACATCTATTTTTCTTGCATAATATTCTTATTATTTTGTAATAAATATATACCAGCATAAGAAAGCGTAAAAAATAAATTTTTTTATTAAGAAATTTTGTTTACAATTGTTTATTTACAATGTTTACATAGGCGAAAAATGAATACAAAATAAAAAATAAATTGAAAACGAAACTACGAATTATCAACAGGAATCGAACCCCGGGCCTCTCATCATAGGATTTCTCGACTCGCGCCATTAGGCCACGAGTCCACTTGAAAAACGTTCGAAATAAATCTGTAATTAGTGTGTAGTAAAACTTTAATCATAAATATCTTAAAAATTATTGAGTAGTTGCGACTATAATGATATATATTTTTGAACTGCATAACGAAATCTATAAACCTATAATTTTTCAACTAAATCGGTGTTCCGAAGGACTTGCACTTTCCTTGTAAGAATTAGTCAGTCTGTTATATAAAATAAGCAATTGTTATCAATTTTAAAATATATCTAAATTTACATATATATAATAATAATGTTATAAAAAATGTTATACTCTATTAACACAATTTTCTTCAGTTTTTGTTGTTTTTTAAATTCATTAAATATTTTAAGATCTAAAAACTAACATAATTTTCAAATTTTGTAAATTAAAAACATTACTATTATAAATGAGCTACTAATTTATCTAGAACATGATTAAATAGATTATATTATTAAATTTGTATATTGGTAAATTAAGAAATGCAGGTCTTCCTTTTTATGTTTTTTGTTATATTTGAAATATCATTGTTTCTTAATTTAAAAATAATATTAATGGTATAGAAAAATACAAAACACAAAATCGGAAATATTTTGTTTAATGATCTCGATTTATATTTGTACTCTTTCAATACCAATTTTTATGAGAATGTCAGCTTTGTTTAATATACAATGAGATCAGAACAACATTAAAATGCATTAGTTGTCTCTAGTTTCTGGTTCTTCATCATATGCTGCCATAACTTTTTCCATTATCTCCCAAAGTTTATCTCTTGTTAAATCTTTACAAAAAACCTAAAAAAAGACATAACTTTATTTTATGTTTTATAAATTTGAAAGCCTTTTTAATTCTTACATTAAACCAAGGCTGCTGATCACATTCATCCATTAATGGTACTACTACACCATAAATTTGTAATGATAGATTAATACAAGCAATTGCTATTAAATTCGGTGGATAATCAAGTATAGCTGGAGAATGATGAAAATCTTGTAAAAGTGCCATACTGGTTTTTGCAACTGGATATTTAGACCATTCTTCTTCTCCAAACCATGCTTGTAAAGATCGTAAATAATGTAACATGTACTAAAAGAATAATATTTTGTTATTTAGTATAATTATTATTTGCTTTAGATTTAATTTATTTAAATTCAGCTATTTAATATTTACTTTATGTGGATGTACAGGTGTTACTTGAAACTTGAGCATACGCATAATTAAAAGTTCTGCTTGGACAATTGCATCTCTCATACTCCAGTATTGATCTCCTAATTCTAAAGGTTGTGATCCTCTATGTAATGTGCTGTAAGATACATTCATTACATCTCTTATTTTTAAATTATCATCTTTCACTTTTCCTGCTAAATAAAGACAAGTAGCGGCAATCAGCTGAAATGTATATAAAATTATATAAAAATCAATTATTAAAAACATACATTAAAAGTTTTGAGTAATATTATAAATGAGTAACTTACATAATTGTCGTAACCTCCTGGAACAGCTTCTTTTATAAACCTATGGTACAAAGTTGCAGCTGTAGCAATAGTCAATGGATGAGCATCTAGTTTTAAACCTACAATATAGATAAAATTAATATCATTTATCATTAATATAATTTTAATAAAATATAAAAAATAATAGATAAAAAGCTTACCACATTCAAAAATAAATCTTGAAACTGTAAAACTATCGCTACTTTTTGTATAATCAATTGTGATACTTTTTTGCAAGGTATTCCTTTTTTCTCGCTGCATAGCTAATACATCAATAACATCTTTCATTTTGGAACTGTACAGATAAAATATATGTTTGTTAAATAGAACATTGTAAATTTTCTGTATATGTGTGTGAACATATATTATATATTATTATTATTATTACAAATATCATTACAAAAGTAATGTAATCAAAGAACAAAATATGTTTAATGTAATTCATTTTATCAAATAAGTTAAGTTTTTTTAAGCATTATTATAAAATAAAAAATATACAAATGACGATCCAGTACTTCACTATTAAAGCTTGTAAAGAAATTTATTTTAAATAATTATATTGATATTAAATACATATTTCTTTAAATTACCTTAAAGTTTCAGTACTGGTAGGTTCTGTCGGATTCATTTTGGTGATATTCTAATTGAATTTGTCTATAAGGAATATAATTTGTTTTGTTACAGGTTACAACAATATTTATTTATCGCACACTGCGTGTCAATGATGCCAATGTACTCTTTGTCGTTAGAAATTTTAGTACCAACATTAAAGTAACTATATTTTTAAAAAATTCTAGATTTAGTGCTTTCCATATACATTAATAGTAAATATGTATACATTTACTATTAATAGTATACATTTTGTATACAAAATATGATATTTAATATGTGCAATTCATTGAAAGACCATTGTTTTAATATTGTTGAATGTAATTAATATTAATCGTACTTAAAACAATGTGAGTTCGTTCTATCTTAATCTCATAATACAGTGTTACTTATCGTAAAAATGCCTTTAAAAGGTATAAAGGTTTTAGAATTAAGTGGGCTTGCACCAGGTCCTTTTTGTGGAATGATATTAGCAGAATTTGGTGCAGCTGTGATTAAAGTAGATAAGGTATAATTAAAGTTCAATCAATCATTTATTTCAGCTTGTATAAATTCAAAATTTATATTTGTTTTTTGTAGGTGAATGGATCCTATAATACCATTGATTCTTTGGGTCACGGAAAACGGTCAATTGCATTAAATTTAAAAACCTATGAGGGTTCCAACATATTTAAGAAATTGAGTAATCAAAGTGATGTACTTATAGATCCATTTAGACCTGGTTTGTATTTTTTAACAAATACATTAGTATTATTATGTAATATTGATAAATTAATATGTTGTTCAATAGGAGTAATGGAAAAATTAAAATTAGGACCAGAAGTACTTATGAGATTAAATAAGAGATTGATATATGCTAGATTAACAGGATTTGGTCATACAGGACCATATGTTAATATGGCTGGACATGATATTAATTATCTAGCTTTATCTGGTAATTTGATAATGATGTATTTATCTTTAGTTAATTTTAAATATTAAATATTTTTTAAAATACTTTTGAACATATTCAGGTTTATTATCATTGTTTGGACGCTACAATCAAAAACCCACACCACCTATTAATCTGGCTGCTGATTTCGCTGGTGGTGGATTAATATGTGCCTTTGGTATAATGTTAGCATTGTTTGAACGTAATAAAAGTAATATTGGCCAAGTCATTGATGCATCAATTGTAGATGGATCTGCATATGTAGGTAGTTGGTTCTTTAGATCTCAAAATGTACCTGGGCTCTGGGGAAATCCTCGTGGCAAAAATATGTAAGAACTTTTAAATTAAATCATTACTCATATTTCTATAGTTTTATATAAATAGGTAATATATATATATACTATATGTTTCTTGCAAACAGACTAGACTCTGGAACACATTTTTATGATACTTATGAAACAAAAGATAAAAAATATATGTGTGTTGGGGCAATTGAACATAAGTTTTATGAAACATTTTTGAACAAACTTAGTATTTCAGCAGATGAAATGCCACAATTTGATAAATTTGAAGAAAATCGAGAAAAATTAGAAAAGATATTTAAGCAAAAAACTCAAGCAGAATGGTGTTCTATATTTGATGGTACAGATGCTTGTGTAACGCCTGTTTTAAATTTAAAAGATGTTACATCACATGCACACAATAAAGAAAGAAATACATTTGGATTTGAAAGTAATGGTTTAGTAATTCCAAATCCTGCTCCTCGTTTATCTCGTACACCTGGAATATCCAAAGGACATCAAAAGAATCCTGAACCAGGTGAACATACTATAGAAATTCTTACTGAACTAAATTTTAAATCTGAAGAAATTACTAATTTAATAGCAAATGGAATTGTTAATCAACCAATGAAACGTTCTATGCTTTAAATACTTTATTTATTCTTGTTAAAATATTTATGTACATTTATTAAAACATAAGATTATACAATGTCATTAAAAAATATTTTTATATATTTTTTATTATTGTTAAAATATTTTATTACATATATAATCATTCATTGTTATACTTTATTATAAATCGATATAAATATATATTTTTAAAAACGACATCAATTTTGTTGTTTACTGAACGTTTATAGAATGATTATTATCCTCATAGTAACAAATTAAAAAATTGTCAATATCTCAAAGAAATTAAAAATTAAATAGTTTGTTTTAAAAATAATTAATTACTCTACTTAATGACAACCACAACTATTAATAACCATGTTTTTATACTTTTTTAACACAACGTTACTATCATCAAGAAAATAAAGTACCGATATTGGTGACAATTTTGTTGGGGCGCAACATGGTTTCGGTATTTCATGTGGTTTCATAAGATGTACTAAAGTTTGAACAATAGCATGGTTAGTTGCATTCATATGTATGTTCAATGGAAAATTGCACTCTCCACTACAATAATACGCGTCGTATCCTTCTGGAGCTATAATCCAATCTTGCCATTGAAGATCCTTAAAACTTATATACAATGTTTTAATATTGCATACACTTTCTTTCTTTTTTTTTTGTACAGAATTAGTGTATGGATTACTTTGAATATTCATATTATTAAACCGTTGTTTCTTAAATTTAATATCTCTTTTTTGTTTAAACAATAATGTTTCATGTTTTCTAATATTAGTTGAACTTTTAAAAAAGCCTACCATAAATGGTTGCTTATCTGGAATTCCTAAAACACCTACAATTCCAACATCATCTGGTCTCATGGTATGACCAATATAATCAATATGATGCACTGCCAAAAATAAACCTCGATTTTCTTTTGGATATTTAATCCAATGATCAAGTGCTCGACTGATATTTAAAGTTATCCAGCCTCCTTTATCTATCGTGGTATTAGATGAGTCTATGTAATGTTTAATTCGTCTACCATCTTTTGTTCGAGCTACCATGTATATTGTTATGGTGTAGGCATTTTTAAATTTAATACCTTTATCTAAACTTTGATATAGTCGCAGTTCAGCTGCTATAAGATTTTCTTCTCTTGGCACTTCTGATACATCAAACCAAATTCTTTTACCACGATTAATTTTGGATGCATTACCAGAATGTGGATTGTGAGCACCAAATGTCATGATTAAATCGCTTTGATTGATGATATTAATGTCATGACCACTTAGATCAAATTCTTCCATGTTTTCATATTCCTCTTGAACTGATGTATGTGTGCTATCTGATAAAATGTTCTTGTAAATATTTAATAGAAATTTGGGTGCTGATCTTTTCACCATTAAAGATCTACGCACAATGCTCTTTGATTTGTACGGTAAATCGAGAATATTTAATAAGTTGCGTTCTATATATCGTTTTTGTTTATTACTAGTAATTTCATGTGGAATTGTTTGATTGAATCCATTGTCTATGTATAAGCCACTAGATCTTTCAGAATTTGCAGGAAATAGTATTATAAGAAAAAGTATTTTTATAAAATATATTTTATGCATTTTGTCTTTTATAGACAATAAATATCCTAGTACCATTCAATAAACAATTTACATACTTATATATTTTATTAATTTATATATAAATAAGAGAGTAGCATTAATAAAAGTATTTGTTACTGAAATGTTTACTTTTATGTAAGAGGACTTTTGAATTTATGTTTGTATACAAACAAGTTTCACCTGACTGGGTGAAATGTAAAAATAATCTATTAAGTATTCACATTAAAGCAATCTTTGTGACAATATATTGTATGTATTATAAATCATTTTGTATAACATTAATTTTATGTACAATAAAAACTTAACCATTTTTTAGAATATAATTAAATAATTATTACAATATTTTTTTATTGCATATGTAATTGATATGACTGATTTTTGCATTCTAAATTTTTCGTAAATTCATTAACATGAAAATTGATATAAAATACATAACACATTCTACCATTGAATAATGGAAAAATTGACACAATATACAAGCAATATTATAAAATTATTTATGAGAAGATAACTTGAAATTTAGTATACAATTGCAATATAGAATTTTATTATAAATATCAAGTATTTGTTACACACTACATCAATAAATATGAAGCGTATTTGTACAATACTATTACTGAATTGGTGGTGGTTGCACAGGTTGAATTCTATGAGATTCCTTTTTAACAGGAGGAACAGATACTGGTTTTATAGACAGTAAAGAACCAAACAAAACGTGTTGGATGACAGGAAATTTTGCTAAAACCTAGCATTCAGAACATAAGGTAATTTAAGTCATTTAATTCTATGTAAATTTATTATAAGCCATTGAACCTAATATTTACCTCAGCTTTGTACATTTTGATAAGTCCACTATTTACTTTAACCCATGAAGATACTGCACTAACATTCCATAATTGATTTGAATGTTCAGCAAATGGACCTATCTTTACCTAAAATAATATTCAATACCTTTAAAATATGAAAATATTTAACAATAACATTATGTGCATACTATACACTATATATAAATGTACCAACCTTTGAAATAAATTCAATACAACCAAGAAACATATATTGTTTACTGAATGACTGTACAATATCTGGTTCCACAAAATGTCGAGGTTCTAAACGAGGTTGTCCTAAAATATTTATGTCTCATGTACATGTACTTTCTTAAATATATTATAAAGAAAAATAGAATAGTTCAAATAAAACAATACCAATTAATTGGGCACTCCCCCATATGAAAGGAACAAATTGATAGTCATCTAAGCTCCATACACCATGACTACCTGCTGGTTCCATACGGTAAGTTAACTGTAGTCTACGTACTAATTCCAGATATCTTTCAAAAATAAAAATTACTTTAATTTATAGAAATATACTATAATATATTTAATATTATAAAAATTACTAAACTTTTACTTAAATGAAATTAAATATAAGCTACCTGTTAAATATTTTTATGACTACAGCAACTTTATCATCCTGTGAGAAAGCACCAATTTTGAACATACAACATAAGAACATTAAAAATGCCATTTCATGTCCTGTACCATAATCTATACGTGTTGGATTGCCAAAACCTTCGTATAAGTATTGAACTATCTCTGGAACTGCCCTATGTAATTTTTGTGGCAATACTTTTTGTAATTCTGTTATTCCATTCTAAAATAATATAAATAAATAGAAATGTCATATTTTGGAAACACAGATGTAAGAATATTATGTATTTACCTGTTGTAACTTTTCATGCCATATTCTAAATGATTTATTACCAAAACGTTGGGGCTGCTCAGTAGGAGGTATCTGTGTTATCCATTCATCAAACTCATCAAGCATTTGAACAATATTTGCTATTATAGGACTTTGTGTGCATTCAATGGTTAAAGCTTTTCCTTGAACTGAATTATTTAAGGCTAATATAAATCCCAAGTATTCCTACAAAAGTACTTTTGCACTTTCTTTCCATACTAAAGATTTTGAATGTTCTTATCTATTGTTAACTATGATATGTAATAAAAAAGTGTATTATACGAATTCTTACACAATATGCTTCCGATTTTTCCCAAATTGTCATATCACTAGGTACTTTAATGGATTTTTTCGGGACAACGAATTCATGATCATCAGCTAAAATATATTTAAAAATAATTATTTGATCTTATTAAAATTATATTTGTGTAAAGTACATACGGGATATTGGTGACTTTGACGTTGACATCGTACTTATCGTAGAGTTTAACTATTATTCATTAAAAATAAATAATTCAAACAATTAACAAAAGGAAAATGTACTTGAATTATATATGTACGTAATATAAAACATTTGAATTACATACATATATTATTGTTAAAATTTAAGTTATTTCACAAAAAGATTTTAGGGATGTACAAACTCAGTTCTAAAATCATTAAAACTGAACAAAAAGTTTAAAGATGTTTTCATTAAATTGATTTTTTATCATAACTATAAAACTTTACGAAGATAAAAACGAAGATATAAAAATACATGATCTATAACCATTGAGATTGAAATTAAGTTCTAAAAAATGTTCATATATTTCTTTTACGTACAAATTCACTATATCTAAAAACGGAACCAATCACACTATATTCAAAAGTTACTGGAGATAGATGTGATGATTTATCCAGGTAAATGTCGAAAAATGTATTTCTCTAGACAACATACTGTATTCAAACTAACAATACAATACCATTGTAACTAAGTATATAATTAGAGAAATGCGTAACAATATTTTTTATACATTTTGTATAAATATTATTATTAATTACTAAATATAAGATAATTTAAAGTACAAAATGGGGAAATGAGAAATTTAAAATTTATGAAAAAGAGTGGTTATATTTATCAGGTTTGTAATTATTTATTAGATACTATTTATATATTTTATACCTTGTTTTTTAATGGAAGTTCAAATATTGTAGGCATGAGTTATTCTCAAGAAGAAATAGAAAAAAAACGTTTATTAGCCTTACAACGTAAAAAACAAGCTCAATTAAAAAATGCCTCAATCAATTCTCCAAGTACAAAAAGTAACATGCCTTCTTTTAATAATAATACTGTAGCCAACAAAAATAAGTTAGACAATGGCACTGGGTCTTCTGGGCATGGTTCATCAAAATATGTTGACTTGAAAGCAAAATTTGGAAATAATTCTATTAAAAATCATGCAAAATTTGATAGAAAAAAAGAACGTATTAATCCTATTTCAACATCAAATTTTTTTGCTCAGAAATCTCGTATTACAGGAAACTGTTATATGATAACTGATGATAGATTTGTATTAGAAACCTCATCATATTTCCCTCCACTTGTTTTATTCCTACAAAAGTACTTTTGCACTTTCTTTCCATACTAAAGATTTTGAATGTTCTTATCTATTGTTAACTATGATATGTAATAAAAAAGTGTATTATACGAATTCTTACACAATATGCTTCCGATTTTTCCCAAATTGTCATATCACTAGGTACTTTAATGGATTTTTTCGGGACAACGAATTCATGATCATCAGCTAAAATATATTTAAAAATAATTATTTGATCTTATTAAAATTATATTTGTGTAAAGTACATACGGGATATTGGTGACTTTGACGTTGACATCGTACTTATCGTAGAGTTTAACTATTATTCATTAAAAATAAATAATTCAAACAATTAACAAAAGGAAAATGTACTTGAATTATATATGTACGTAATATAAAACATTTGAATTACATACATATATTATTGTTAAAATTTAAGTTATTTCACAAAAAGATTTTAGGGATGTACAAACTCAGTTCTAAAATCATTAAAACTGAACAAAAAGTTTAAAGATGTTTTCATTAAATTGATTTTTTATCATAACTATAAAACTTTACGAAGATAAAAACGAAGATATAAAAATACATGATCTATAACCATTGAGATTGAAATTAAGTTCTAAAAAATGTTCATATATTTCTTTTACGTACAAATTCACTATATCTAAAAACGGAACCAATCACACTATATTCAAAAGTTACTGGAGATAGATGTGATGATTTATCCAGGTAAATGTCGAAAAATGTATTTCTCTAGACAACATACTGTATTCAAACTAACAATACAATACCATTGTAACTAAGTATATAATTAGAGAAATGCGTAACAATATTTTTTATACATTTTGTATAAATATTATTATTAATTACTAAATATAAGATAATTTAAAGTACAAAATGGGGAAATGAGAAATTTAAAATTTATGAAAAAGAGTGGTTATATTTATCAGGTTTGTAATTATTTATTAGATACTATTTATATATTTTATACCTTGTTTTTTAATGGAAGTTCAAATATTGTAGGCATGAGTTATTCTCAAGAAGAAATAGAAAAAAAACGTTTATTAGCCTTACAACGTAAAAAACAAGCTCAATTAAAAAATGCCTCAATCAATTCTCCAAGTACAAAAAGTAACATGCCTTCTTTTAATAATAATACTGTAGCCAACAAAAATAAGTTAGACAATGGCACTGGGTCTTCTGGGCATGGTTCATCAAAATATGTTGACTTGAAAGCAAAATTTGGAAATAATTCTATTAAAAATCATGCAAAATTTGATAGAAAAAAAGAACGTATTAATCCTATTTCAACATCAAATTTTTTTGCTCAGAAATCTCGTATTACAGGAAACTGTTATATGATAACTGATGATAGATTTGTATTAGAAACCTCATCATATTTCCCTCCACTTGTTACAGTTCTGAAGACAATTCCAAGTAGATCATATGGTAATGTAAAATATATTCTTATATATATTCAATATATTAATATAATTTTATTAATTAAAAGTATAAAATGAAAATGCATATATTTATTGTAGACATAAACAATAAAAATTGGAATTTTCATTTAAAAGATTATGAAACAGTAATGGAAAAAATTATTAGTTTCAAATTTGATATACAAGTTACAGGATTACCAAAAATAGTTCTTCAGGTATTACATTGAAGCATAATATATTAATTTGTCTTTACTTATATGATATAAATATTTACATATTTGAAATATTTCTTAGGTATTCAGAAAAAATGATACTTTAAAAAATATTGTTAAAAACATAGATCTATCAAACATTGATTCTCAGTTATTAAAAAATTTAATACCCTTTCAAAAAGAAGGAATATGGTATAACTATGTGTTTTATATGATTTTAACAACTATTTTAAATAGAATAGTGATAGATTTCCTATTTTTAGCTATGGAATATCTAAAGGTGGTCGTTGTATGATTGCTGATGATATGGGTTTAGGAAAAACCATTCAAGCTTTGGGTATTGCACATTATTTCAAAGACAATTGGCCACTTCTTATTGTTGCACCTTCTTCTGTCAGGTTTAATAATCAGAAATATTATAAATTGAAAATTTATTTTATTATATTTAAGTAGATAATAAATATAAATTTTTACATCTAGATATCAATGGGCAGAAGCAATATGTACCTTTTTGCCATCTGTTCCTACACAGTATATTTATCAATTTATGAATGCGAAAGATTTTATTGGTAGTAAGATTGTTATCACAACATATGATCTTTTAGTACGAGCTATGAGCACATTTAAATATCACATTTTTGGTTTTATAATTCTGGTATATTATGAAAGAGTATACAGATATATAGAATAATGTAAATAGACATAAATATATAACTAGAATATTTAATGAAATAAATAAATTTATGTATAGGATGAATCTCATGCTCTAAAAAGCATTAAAACTGCAAGATTTAAAGCTGTACAATGTGTAGTTGCACAAGCACGTCATGTTGTTTTATTGACAGGAACACCTGTTTTATCCAGACCAATAGAATTATATTCTCAAATAAATCTTATAATGCCAAATTTTATGGGGTAATTAGAAATATTTGTTATATGTAATTTACAGAAAAATGAAAAAAAACAATCATTTTTATCTAGATATCAAGAATATGGAATTCGATATTGTGCAGGAGAAAAAGGTTCATATGGATGGGATTTTACAGGATCATCAAATATGCAAGAATTACAAATGTTATTAAAACATACTTGTGTAATTCGGAGATTAAAAAGTGAAGTTTTAAATCAATTACCAACAAAAAAGAGGTAAGAGATATATGTATTTGTATCAGTATGTCTGAGTAGTATATAAATATATATTTAAATTAACAAATATAATAATGTATTACATTAAAAAAATTTTAGAGAAGTAATTATACTTGATCCAGATGTAATAAAAGTTAGTACTAAAGAAATGGTACAAATGTCTCAAAAGTTAGAAAGAAAAGTTCTGAATGGTATGGAAAGACATTGTGCTCTTTTACAATATTATAATGAATCAAGTATTGCTAAACAGAGGGCTGTATGGTAAATAACACTATTATTTAATTAATATTTTGGGAAATGATAAGTATTTTTTCATGACTATAATAATAATGTTTTAGTGATTACATTTCTAAGTTATTCATAAGTAAACAAAAGTGCATTATATTTGCTCATCATCAAAATGTTCTGGATGCGATTTGTGATGTTGCAGAATCTATGAATATAAAGTAATTATATCGTCTGCATATAGTACCATATAAAGACAAAATTTGTATTTACTTGTAACTTATTTATGTATTTTAGCTATATTAGAATCGATGGAAGAACAAATTCGGAACGCAGAAAATATGAAGTTGATAAGTTTCAGAATAATAACACATGTATGGCTGCAGTACTATCAATTACAGCAGCAAACGCAGGAATTACGTTAACAGCTGCACAACATGTTGTTTTTGCAGAGCTGTTTTGGAATCCTGGTGTATTTATTATCATTATTATTTTTCACAATCATAATTATTTAAGCTTAGATTCATTCAATGATATGTTTTATTACAGATATTGTGTCAAGCTGAAGATAGAGTACACAGGATTGGTCAAGACAATAATGTTACTATTCAATATTTGGTTGCAAAACAAACGGCAGATGATTATTTGTGGCCATTAATTCAAAAAAAAATGAACGTATTAAACGAAGTTGGACTTGATCAAGATTTTTGTTTGAAGGATATTGATATTTCAAAACAAGAATTAAATTTAAAACAAAATACCTTAGACTTTTTTATTAATAGTAAACAATATCAACTAAAGACTGATGAAAAAATAATAGAAAATAATGAAAATGCAATGAAGGATGCAGGAAATGAATCTTTCATAGTAGAAGAGTATAAAGAGTTAATAGATTTAAGTGAAGAAGACTTTAATTTCTGTAATTGGGATGACATAGAATGAAGAAGTATTTTTTTATGATATGATATATTGTTACAAGTGTACAAATGAAACAACATATATGTATGCAATATAAACATTTACTAATTTCTTACATGTTTTGTGAATGATATAACCATTTTTAATAATAAAATTGAAACGTGATAAAAATTGTGTGAATATTTTGATAATTTATTCCGAAAATTTGATTGCAAAGAAAATCAAGGGTATTATATAATAATTTTTATCTTCTGATTATTTCCATAACATATTTTCCATATTAAATATTTTTTTCTTTTTTCATTAAAGAAATTTTGTTTCGTATAAATATAAAATATAGAAGATTAAATTCCCTTAAGTTTTGAAAATTTTAGATTAATAATTGTAAATTACTGTTACATGTTTTCATTAACTTTATTAACTTATGTTTACAACGGAACGATAATTCAATAAATGTGTGAGCTGACTTAAACTCACGTTATTGCGCGTCTTATATGAATGTAGTAATAGGCTATACTTTGAATATTTACCGCACAAACGAATGTTCTTCAATGCAGTGTTTCTCCCAAAACTAATGCTTCTTTGTTGGAATAAATTGTGTGCAAGTCTTCGTTTGTATTGTTCATTAGAAAGATATTTGAAATGTCCATTTTTAACGCGCAGCAGTTTTTAGGTGCATTGTATAAACGTTACATAATTTCACTACCATCAATAAACTTGTCTAGAACTCAAAAAGCAAGTATCTTTTTTTGAGGTTAGAATAAATATATTTACATTCAATAATTTTTATATTATATAATGTTTCAAAAATGATATTTCATATTTGTTAGTTAATTTATTTTTCTTAATAACTTGGAATATTTATTTACAAAATTAGTGTCATATCACTTTATAATGAAGTAATTAGTGATGTTTTAATAATTCTTTCTCTTACAGATTCTTATTATCTGTGTTACTGGAGGGTCCTTGCTCTTAGGAGGATTAGCACAATTTTTGAAAAGACGAAGAAGACATCCTCTTCCATCTTCGAGAAGACCATTAAGGGAATTGAAACAAAGATATGCTGCTGTAAAGAATTCTAATTTTGGTAATTTTTTACTCGTAAAATATAATTTTATAAATAAATGTTAAACAAATTATGACATAACATAATGTTTATTAATATTAAAACAAAATTATATAATATTCGTTTCATGTGTGTAGATGTATTATCACAAGCATCATGGGCAAGAAAAAGTGAAGCCAGCAGTAGAAGTCATATAAGTGATCGTGCGTCACTCATATCTTCTGTGCCAGGAGGTCCAGATGGTGATGTAAGACTTACTCCACAACAATATGGGGTGCTTGGTAAGTCATTTTCATGTATAGCTCTTATAATTTTTAGAGTAATTGTATCATATGTATTAAATGTGCTACATTTATGACATTTCACATAATTCTTAAAAAATTTGAAGATATGAAAGCAAATACTTGAATGGTTTCTTAAGAGATTTTTTATTACACACAGGGGATGGGAGGATTCAGTGAGGTAATATTATTAACAAACAAAATTATTAAATGATATAGAATGAATATTTTAGAACAAGAAATATCTTTCATATGTATGTAAATGTAAGGAATATAAATAGTGAGAGAGAACAAAATCGAGTGAGCAAATGAACGAGAGAAAAAGAGGGAGAGGGAGAGGGAGAGGGAGAGAGAGAGAGAGAGAGAGAGAGAGAGAGAGAGAGAGAGAGAGAATAAATCAGAAATAGTTCTGTTATCATATGCAATTTTTTTTACATTGGAATTTTTATTAACATTTTCTCGAAGGCATACAGAAATATGAAGAAGCAACTTAAAAATAAGCGACAATTTCTTTTTTCCAAATATAGAGATATACTATTATCGTTTGTTTCTTCTATTATTTTTATCTTGAGAACATACTATCCAATTACTTTGGGCCACATCCATTGCATCACATTATTCACAATGAGAAAATATTGTTGACAGTATTAAACATTACTATCTTGCATTATCTTTTACCTACTTTTTTTCTGATTTATTTAATCACACAACATTCTAAAATTCACATGTCCCAATCTCGCAACAAATTATTGCTTTCTATGATAATTAACAAATTATTTAACAGAATATGTCACATTCTTTTACATCTACATAAAGTTTTCACTGAATATCACAATATTGTGATTAGGCTTACTTTGATAAATGTTATTAGAAACTATGAACATTTTGTTCATGTCCAAACTAAATGTTTCCGCGTTAGTTTTTTTTATTAATGTTACAATATAATAAAATATGGATAATTCGTACGTTATTTACCACTGTTAGGAAAAACTATAAATGATTAAATAAGTTTGTAACAATTACACCTAATAAGAGTATAGAAATTACATTATATACATACAAATATACTAAGGAAATATCGAAAATACGCAACGAACGTACGACAAATATCATTTTTCTTTCTCCAACTTTTAACGTAAAATCAATTAAATAAAATGTAATTATTAAATAAGTCCATATTTCTCGTTTCGCTTATCAAACAAACGTACCTTACCAATTATTAACATATTTATACAAATTAAAATACTGCGTTTCTTCGCCATTACAATTTTCATTAATAATTATTTTCTAGGAATCTGCAAGCCCTATCACTTTACATGGGACAGATGGGTACACAAAATATTTGTATTTTTTTTTCTTTACTAAACTTAAAACAAATTATTAGTAATTAGAAATATTAATTGTTATTAATGTTTTAATATTACTTAGAAATTTACACATCATTGCTCATTCTTAAATAGCGTGCAACTCTTTTAATATCATTATTACATAGCGAATTCTATCATTTCACTTTATCTAAGGATCTTTCAAAGCTTTACATCAGTCAGATAAATGATACTAAAATAGCGTTGGAAATACACGTACCCATCCACCTGTACTCTACGTATTCTTACTCACTACACCTTTATAAATCTTACAATTTTCTAAAATTATACTGCAATCTCAAAAATATATATCATAACTGCATTAACTCGCGCATCTTTGTCCTTCCATATTTTTCTTTCAATTTCCACTCGTTTACTTGTCATATTTCCGGTCACCCGAGATTAATACCTGTCGTAATTCTAAATTCTCTTTGAACACGATTCTCAAAGAAAGGTACCATCCTTTTTTTTCATTCAAAGCTTTTTCGAAGTCTTTTCTAGAGAAGATCCTAGAATGTACACTTTGCGAAGGCATAAAATAGTTTAGCTGGGAAATTGATTCACAGCGAGATTAGTTTAAAGACGGAATGTCGTAGTTTACATTCATCAGTTATTCAACAATATAGAAGTAAATGCTAACAATCCACGAATGTTAACATGTCCATATGTTGGCTGCGATCGCTTGTACTTAACATTCTTCGTGAGACTAGCTCATCGTTAAGGTATCCATTTCTCTTTCATCTTTGCTATCCTAAATGTGTATATATATATATTTTTATATATATATATATATATTAAATATGAAGTTTTTTTTATTTATCTTCGAAAGGCAAGCATTATGTCAGCACTGGCACCGCGGTCTGACGATCAGCGATTTAACCAAGGAGCTTTTTATTTCGTTCCATACTCGCTATATGTACGAAATATTACAGCAACATCTCATTTTCGGTTGATCTATTTTTTTTTTGCGCTATTTTTTTTTTGTTTTTTTTACTTTTTTGGTAATCTCTGGACATTGTTTTCTACGAATATATTACTATTGCAACTTAGGACATAGGATCTCTTAGAATCATATCTTTTCACGTAATTCTATGGACGATAAACGTTAACGAAATTACAAGTATTCCATTTAATCTAAGTAGAGAAGTTCCAGAGTGCGTCACTTCTACCTTATTCTTCAGCGACAGCGGTCCGCCGTCATCGCTCTGCATATTGGACATATCCGATTTCTTCGGCGGTACTATCATGTTCTCGTCGTGATCCTCGTTCTCCGTATCATGATCGTGACGAGTGACCTTGCTCACGTTCTGCGGAATCGCAGTAGTGCTTGGTTCCGTAGTCGTTGGGACAGTAGTCGTAGGAACTAGACTGTAATTGCCGAGGAAATAAATAGATCCAAATTCGGGTTTTATATCAAACATTGTCTCCTCCATGCGTATACCGTTTATCACACGAGACTTCGTCTCTCCATCCTCGTAATGGGAAATTAATGTTCCAGTGTAAGGTACTTCCATGTCGGTGTAATTAGCTCTTAGGGTAACGTTCACTCCTGTACCAGGTTCGAGGTACACTTCTACCCTGTTTTAAATATGACAAAATTATTCATATAAAAATAATCTATTATAATAATCGTACTTTGATCGAAAGTTTAAAAAATCAGTGATAATAATAACGAATCTCTTTTTTTTTACACATTGTACGTAGGACTGAACAACCGGAAATCATGAAGCTACATTTACTTGACTTAAGATGTAGATTACTGTAAGAATGTTTCCCACGAACGTTCTGAATCGAATGAAGGTAATAATTTGAAAATATTTATTATGAGGGTTGTAGAAGATTTCTTACTTCCTACATACAATGTGTTGATTTATTTCGGATCATACTGAACATAATACTTACGTGTACACGTCGGTAGGATTAGTGGTTTCCTTTGTGCCCCACATTATTTTTGGCAAAGCTGTGCCGTTCGTTAGCGTAATTGATGTGTTTAGGCCTTTCAGAATGGCGTGACCTTGACCCCAGTACATGGAATACTTGTACGTGTAGGCGAAAGCTTGCGCCATGTTCGCAGCTTCCGGTCCATTATTGGTGATCGTCGCCTCGCCAAGCACACGGGGTGTACGTTTAATCACGCGCTTTTTAGGCCAATTCAATTTAACCCTCGTTAGATCATAGTAGATCGGTTCCGTCTCAACGAGAACATCGCCATGCCTTGCGGTCCCTTCAGTGCCATCCTGATGAAAGAAAAGGATTAATGCTTAACTGCCGACATCATGACGAACATATAATCTTGTATGTGACAAAAGTATAAAAATTCGAGGTATAATAAGCTTTTCGATAAAAGTTGTATTCATTGGGTAACAGAGTGAAATAAAATTCAATATTTTTACTTGTTTGCTTCAATGTTGAAACATTTTTCACTGGTTTTTACAAAAATGATCCTTCCAGGACCAACATCCTAGTCACTGACTTAAAAATTTCTAGTTGTAAGGAAAAATTCATTGGAGTTAGGTCAACTTTAATCCAAGCAATGGGAAGTATTAAGTATTATAATATGTAATACCTAATACGAACATAATAAAACGTCAGAAAGCAAAGGATCACTGGGAAAATGAATTATTAGACCTTGCAGCTAGTTAATCCATCATCCCCAGTTAACAGGTTAACTCCTGACTAACAGAATGAAGGTTATTCTTCCCCAAAGTGTTAATCGATTACACATCCAATAAACGGAATCACTCCATTCATCATCACCTCACACGCAAGGATATTCCTAGTGCGGTTCTACCCAGCTGAAACTCCGCCGATTACCACTTCCGATTACCTCCAACCACCTCGACACATTCTTCCACTTGCATTCTCTCCGCCACATTAATTCGCCGCAAATCCTAAAACATGTGGTGAACACCCTTCCTCAGCGGAGGGCCGAATTGAAAACCAACCCAAACGCGTCTCAACCATAACCTCACAGCTGAAGGAACACCCTCGCTTTCTCGTGCTTCTTCCCGTCGGTTTAATCCCCTCCCGTCTGACTTGCATTACGAATCCGGATGCAAGCATTATAATCTCTAGCAAGCAATCTGTATCAAGGGAGAACACGGTCTCGTGTCAACAATGCGAATCGTGGAGCAATTACTTACGTCTTTGACGTAGCTGATACTCCCCAGAATGTTGTGCGTAGTCAAGGTGCCGATATAATGGGTGTACCTCAGACCCGTAGTGGTTTTGTTTTTGTCATTTTCCGCGGCGTGCCGGGCGACGAACATCTTCTCCATGGCCACAGCACCCAACGGGGTAGACCTGTATTTGTCCCAGTACTCCCAGTTGACGCGAGCCGCATTGTCCACATTCTCGAGCAGCTCGTATTTATCGTATGACTGCACGTTATCGTGAATCGTCACGGTGCATCGTTGCTCGTCACCCCTCTGACTGCCAGCCACCCAGACGGTCGTGTGCAACGCCCTGCATACGTACAGGGGCCTCTTTCTTTCCGATTTCTCCGCTTGATTGTTGTACGAGTCGTCTGTGGAAAAAGCGAGAGAAAAAGATCGTCTATGTATTTTTATTTCTAACGGGAAGGAGGATGAGGTGCAAACAATTGTGTATTTCTATTGTCGGAAAGGATAAACCGTCTGGCCAGGTGGAGGCGAGAAAAGTTAATTCACGGGCACTTTGGAGACGCTGTCGAGACATGATGCTTAGCGGCAATTAGCGGCGCGGGAAATTAACGAGAGCCAGCCAGCCTGCGTAACCGAGCCAGCTTTCCGGGTGTGTGTGATACGTGGCTAGTAGCTTCGTTAGAGGTTTTGAGGATATGACGGTCGCTGTGAGTTAGTTTTACTTGCTCGTCTTACGAGCGGAGATATTCGATTAGAAACGAGATATAACGCGTGTTAAAAGATATTGTCTTAACCTTTCCCTCCCCTGAAAAAGATTCGTTTGATGACTTCGGCATTGAAATGTCGAATAATATTAAAAAATCTTTATATTTCTTTTCTTTTTAGTATAAGACTAGTTTATTTGACAAGTTTAATAGTTGTACTGGTAAAAAGAAAAAAAAATACCAAATTTATATGAAGGTTGCTGATGAAGTCGACTACCGAGGAAGACCATATTTCATTTCATTTTTCCCTCTAGTTCTACGTACCTTCCGATTCTTCGATCTCGAAACCACCGATGACTATTTCCTTTGAGGGATCATAGTGAGCCCGTGGAAGCCAGTTAAGGGTGGTCGAGGTGATCAATTGGTACTTTGACAGGATGTGCACGCTGTTGTCCGCATTCGCCAGCAGCAGCAGAACGACAAACAGTCCCACAGTAACGTAGATCCTTTGCCAAGACATCTGCACAGTTTGATCGTTTTATTATTGCGTGTGAAAAGAAGATAAAAGAGAAGAAAAGAAAAAGAATTATAAAAAGGCCTATGAGCTTGCTTGCAAAGTCCATGTGACTAGGTTCTAATCCAGGAAGGGGTTGTATATACATGTATGTGGTAAATGAAGAGGACGAGTTCTAACGAGATCATTATTATAGTAGGGTTACGATATAACGAAATCGTAAATTAACGTTTATAAAATTTCCATTAAAAATTCCTCTATCACTTTGTAATATTTCTTTTAACTTTTTTACGCGTACGGCTGAAAAATTTGTGCCAATAATATTGTGCAAACAATATGCGACACCTTTAGTAAGAAGACAATTTCAAAATATATCGGTAAAATTAGAAAATAATTTAACGATATGTACGATAATTACGACACATTTATTGTAGATATGTACCAAGGTGGCGCTAGTGAGTTAAATGGAAAATCGTATTATTTGCATATACTACGAGGTAAATTAACAGTGGACCAGACATTTTATTACTAATCATACCTAGTAGCCAGCTATTTTATAACTATTCTTGACTGATATGTAGAAAATGCGAAATATCTCGTTGACAGTCTCTAATGGCGCAATATGAAATGCGAGATGTTTCGCCATGTATCCACCATGTCTTAAGAAAGACCCCTACTTAAGGCTTTTACCTGTAACAAAGACAAATTGAAGAACAAGAAAGCGAAATTGTAACGTGAGTATAAATTTTATATAGCGTGTAAGATATATTGGCACTGGATGAAGGATTTCTTCGTATGATTCTAATCATGTCAAGGATCCATTCCAAATATTTATATATTCCTACTCCTGTCAATTTCTGTCAATTCGCTTACCCTAGCGCTGATGTTTACTTTGATATTCGACTAATTTTACGACCTCGTCATATCGTAGCCCGTACTATATGATACAGCAAGTTAATTCAGTGGTAACCTGAGACATTAAGGTGCAGTTTACATCGCGACTGGAAAAATATGGATTTAGCAACGTGTGCTTCATTAACTTTTTAATGGGTGCATATTACTAACGAATTAGAGCTAGGGCTGCCTTTCGCGTGAATCTTTTTATGAAATAATATTGCGGTGTAATTCAATTTTATTTGGATAGTGCTTGAATAAGTTAATACTTTGTGAAGTGGTTCCTGTTTTACGGATGGCTTCGTTTAAGACCTAGTTAATGTCAGGGTAGTGTACTTTGTAACAAAAATTTGTGTTCACAGAGAGAAACTTAATTAAATATTATGGGGTACAAGTTTCTGAGTGGCATCAATTGTAAGAGATAGTAATTACCCAATTTTTCTGCTTTTACCATCAATTTTCACGTTTTAAAATAAGACATTGTACATTCTATTGTCAATGTGTTGAAAGAATTCCCATTTCCTTTCTCATAAGAAAATCACATATAAAATCTATCGCAGAACTAATACACTATAGTTTGCCACTTTTACCATTTTATGGCAAGTTAGAATGTCGTAATTATCTCGTATTCTGTTTGCGAATACTCTGACAAAAGAATTCTTCGTCATCTTTCCTTTTTCTAAACAGAGATAGTTCTTCGTAAGAGTAATCTTTTCTTAATGACCATTTGTTATTTTTACCATTTTATGAAAAATATCTCTAACGGAATCTATTAACGTGTAATTTAAAAAAAAGCCGTGGTTTCTATTTTACATTTGACGAAAGCAGACACGACTTTCCCCGACAGAAATAATTGTAACAAGATGATGTTTTCGAAAATTTGCCAGGTCTCCAGTTTCTAAATGTGATGTTACGTAACTTTCCACGGTTCTGCCGTGTTTTATAGCGACCTTAACTTTTGTAACAGTAATACCTCGCCTCTTTGCGATTATGTTTCTGCTTACAGAGCGTATCTTTAACACAGCCCGCGTATAACTGGATCTCCTACCTTGCCTCGTGTGTTTTCGCTTCAGTTAGTGGTAAGGAAACGAAACGAATGCGCGAATATCAGCGGGAGAGACCCTGGCGATCGCCCCAAAACCATTTCTCGCTATTGTCGTGTTCATACTCCATGTTTTCTCTTTTTTTTTTTGCTTGGTCCTTTAAATTCTTTATCTTTTTCTTCTTTAATTCCATTTTCCTTTTTATCAACGAATTTCAAGAAATTCTTATCTGAGAAATTCCTTTCGAGAACCTCTGGTTCATTTATACAATTAACACGTTTCGTGTCGCGAGAAAGTCGACGGAACTTGGAAAGGAAGTCGACATTTTTAGAAACTACGAAATATTTAGCTGCAGAAGAATTGGAATTTAGTATAAATTCTCGACGCTTTAGTATTCTTACAGGTGCAGCTCGTTGAAAATATGTATTTCTTTGTCCAACGAGAATTGACGTATAATTTTACGTAATTCTATCTCTTGTTCTCATCTTTTTTTTTTCCTGGAAACTTTCTTGAGAATCAGATGAAGATTAAAAATTAATGAAAATTAATGAGCAAAATCTTGAAACTGCTAAAGGCAAAATATTCTTCGCCTGTTTAGAATTGATGAAAGTGATAGTTCCTGGAATAAGATTAGAATTAAAATTCGAAAGCATCGATCTTGTAATCGTGTTTTTACACGTGTCGAGTTAACATTCGAGAAAAACTCGCAGAATATTCAAAAGTTTCTATCTAAATTCCCCTCGCGATACTGGCTAATTAGAGATGTACCTTAAGCATGCAAGAAAATTCATTTTCAAAACCAGTCTAGGATCAAATCCGATTCTTTTAACTCTTCTCGACGAATTGAATAACAATCAGGCGCAAGAAATAAAACTAAGAAAAATCCAATTACGCAAAAATTAGAGGTTCCGCTGATTAATCTTCAAACCTTGCAAACTTTATTAGCCGTTCAGGCTTCTTCCTATAATATTGAAGTATTTCGTACGAGTTTACAAGGATTTCAATGCCGTAACGGAAGCCGCAGTTTTGCCATCATTAGCGGGGTTCATAAAATGATAATATCGAGAAGAAGAGGAAGAAGAGAAAGAAGAAGAAAAAAAAGAAAAATTCGGTCGTAAAATGATGTTCAACTGGAGGGAAACACGAACGCGCCAGTTAGCTCCCGAGGTGTGTACCCGGTATATATCTTCGATACAAGTTACTGTAACGGTTCCGTGGCATATCCGTTTACGTGATAATACACTTATTTTATAACGCTCGTGCCCCACTGCGTTCGATTCGTGCTCTTTCATTTGAGGATTTCGCTTGACTGCCTTCTAAAACCACTCGTGAACACCGAGCCCCCCTCCCCCATGTGAGAGTAAATCTTGTGGAATTTTTAAAGGATATTCAATGTTACTTCGTCATGGGTGATTTAATATTAAAAGGAAAAATTGTTCGAACATGATCATGGGAGTTCAGCTACGGTTCTATTTATAAAGGATTAATTAAATATTTAAGGAAACGAGTATTCCTCGGATAACGAATCTTGTTCAAGATATTTCAATTAACAGAGCTCGAGTCGATAAGAATTATTGGTAAAATTGATTGCTATCGGGAAGAATTTTTGTTTTTGTCATTAGTGGAAAAATTAATATCGAGTTTTATTTAGATAGAAATATAATTAGGTGTATATGTGTTTTTACCTTTATTGTTCTGGTTTAATTATCACAGATGTTTAGGTATATGTTACAAGTTGGTAGTTTGAGTGTTTAATGTACGTTTATCCCCAGGAAAGGGTTCATGAAGTGGGGTACGCGTACCCCTGGTATCTCTGTATTTACGGAGTAGTTCGTAGTATGTAAACTTCTTTAGATTTTAGCTGTTACGAAGGACGAATAATTGAAAGAAGATACATTAAAAGTTTGTTCCATTTTCGCAATACAGTGTATAGTGCACATACCAAGGAAATGTACTGTACTTTTACCGAATGCTGAAATTAATGCGAAACAAAAAACATAACGAGTATCTACAAGGCAACAGTTCCAGTGGATGCGTTTCCCAACGATGTAATGTTCTCGCACATGCATCAGTTTTTATGAAAATGCCCCGGGGTCGAGTATTCTACTCTTCAAATGTTTGATGAACTCGTCATTTGGTCGATTATGCGAACACTGTGCATACTTTGTTCCTCTGCGTAGCGGAAGTGTAATGATACGCGTCCACCGTAATTATCGACTATTACGTTTGTCCAATAAACATTCCGCATTTTATGATTCGCAGTGCTACCGAATTCGTAACGTAATAATCTCGGCGATTCATAAATTTATCCGTCAGGACGTTAATCCGTTAGAAAATCCACTGTAACTGTAGCCTAATAATTCATAAATTTATTCGTCGGAACATTAATTCGTCAGAAGACAAATCCGCTATAATCATAGCCTAAGCATACCTACACTAATAGTGGGATCACGCAATATTGCGGGACTATATACTGCGTTAATTGCAGCATAATGCATACAAGTGGAAATAAAGACCATTCTTTATTATAAAAACGTATATATATATACACACACATACACCTTTAGCGAGTGGTTCAGTGCTAGACATTCTAGAACATATATAATGTACATGTTCTTCGAAGCGAAAGGGTTAAATTAGCTTCGACGATAATAAACGTTAAAAGTTAGTTGGTAAGTTTACGTGCAAAAAGAAAGACATTGTTGATTTTTGGTATAGCTCCAAATCATGATCCACTTTGGCAAGCAAAAGAGATTTGAGATCACAAAGAGCGGTGGACGCTCTTTGTTCTGTTGCGTAAAAAGCTGAACAAAAGCGTGACGTTGTAGCTAGAGGAACAAAAGAGCATCTGTGTTTTCCGTCCCATATGATTCTGTGATTTACCCCTGGGATCAATTTCGTTTGAGAAATTGAACTTTCGAAATGATGCAATTTTCTGTCGAATCGCGAGATTTGTTAAACTACTCAGCATCGAGCTATTAAATCTAAAAGCGTTCCAGGGACCTTTGATCTTCTGGAAAAAGAAAGAAAAAAGAAGAAAGAATTTTTTGTTAGTTTAGATTTAATGTACGATTGATTTCTCTTCCCTTTTAAGATTTCAATGAAAAATAATCATATAAATAAATTTCAAGGAAGAGTCTTTTATCTATATCACTCAACAATTAAATTTCGTTTCCTTTAGCCCTAGAATTTCTCTAATTCTACTAAATTGATCCCAGACTCGTGACCCTTCGATACACGAAATCGTTAAAAACCGCATATGTTTTTTAATTTATATATATATTTAATTAAGATACTATATATATAATACGTCATTTAATACTACTATGATGGTCACTCTGTTGACCACCATTGATCTTTACGTTTGAACCTTATTGCTGATAATGATCAATAATCAAATAAATACGTAACACATCAAATTCTTTACGTCACTCGATAACATAATTCAATTTCGTGTTTCATTACTCGTTTTAAAGTAATACGACCGACCATTGACGTAAGGGAAAAATTTATCAAAATACGCTTGGTGGGGAATGTGTTAACCCGTAGTTTAACAAAACGTTTCCGCTGTTGTCTACGATTTCCGCGGATGCGGCGCCATTGTTCGTACCGCGATCGAACGATCGAAAAAAGGCTCCGATTCGCCGGAGGTATCATGCATTGTGCGTTCTACGTGGAACGCTAGATCCGGTAATGGTCGGTTGAGCACGTTGAACGACTGGCAATAAAATCCCCGCCCTGTTTGTCTCCGAA